CCATTTACAATATCATTTCCACTTTTTATATTCCCGACGTCGTCGATTCTCTCCCCTTCTTCTTCCTCCCACAACGAAATAACTGCCCATGGCTTTGTTGACGATAAAATGCTGGTTTTCATAATACTTTTTTTTCTTGCGCAGATTCAACTTATACGATCGCTCAATTGTGCGAAGCGTTCGACAAACTGATATTGCTACACATTATAAGGATTTACGAACTCTTGAGTCTCTTGTCAAAGAGCCGGAGAGAAAATTGTGTCTTGGATTAAAAGCCGGCGAGATAGTTATCATAGACAACTGGCGTGTGCTTCATGGCAGAAATTCGTATAATGGCACAAGACACCTTGGTGGTTGTTATATTTCACGGACTGATTGGCGTAGTAAAGCGGCAACTTTTGGCTTGTTTAGTTAAATATTAAATAAAAAGACAATAGATAATGAAACATCCTGTTTTATATTCTGAAAATTTTATTTCACTTATGTAAGAACACTGCTTTAAAAAACCTTTTAAAACAGATCTAATAAAATGTATCGGAATATATCATAATTGTGAATTGAAATTTCTTATCAAGCCCTGTATATGTATACATATATATGTATCTACTGATAGAAATAAATGTTATTTCCATTACTCCCAATTACAAATTTATTCTTGTATGGTATGTCACCAATACAATGCAATTGTATGCAATAGCCTATTCATTATACAGGGTGGACCACGGAGCGTGATCAGTAGAGATTACTTTATTATTAGCAGTCCGATCGAAAATGTTTTTATCAGCTTTTGCATGGTTCCAAGAGAGCTTTAACGTGATAGTGAAAAATTACTGGTCAACTCTTTTTTTAAGGTTTTTTCAAGGTTACCTTGAATTTTTTGCAACTGAACATATAATTTTTTTTACGCCTGTCTGTTAGAGGATTTCAAGACGAATTCGGCATTGTCTAATTAGACAATTAGACAATTAACAAATCCGTCAGACGACTTATTTTTATTTCGTGCAGTTCTACAAACTAAACTAACGAAGCAGGCAGCTTCCATAAGGCTGCGGCATCAGATAAACAATTTCGAGCAACTATACAACATTTTACAGAATGAATTTAGTCATCAGACTAGCTCTAAAGACTGGGAAGCAACCGTGAATCAATTAAGACAAGGTAGAAACGAATCGTTAGATAACTACTCGAAAAGAGCACGAGCCCTTCACACAGAAATGAGGACCGTTATAGCAAGCTACTCTGAATCAGCAAGGACTGGAATCGAGGTAATTTCGAACGAGAAACTAATAAATAATTTCATAGGAGGACTTTATTCGAGTAATCGACAAACACTTTTTAGTCAACATTTTTATTCTTTAGAAGAAGCTATAAATTCCGCACGTACACTCCAGATACAAATGAATTACCACGAAAATAGATTAAAGCTATACGAATCAAATAAACGATTTGATCAATCTTGTAATTATTGTCAGAAACAAGGACATGTTGAACGAGAGTGTAGGACGAAAGCACATCACTTTAGAAATCAGGAACATAACAGATATATTAGAAACTGGAACTCAAGAAATAACGATCAACATCCGAATCAAAGCTTTACAAACGAAACAAAGGCCATTTGGCAATCAAAATCAGTATACTAGAGGCAATTACAACCAATCTCAAGATACAAGATATAGCTCACGTAATGACAAATTAAAAAACCTAGACTCTACAATACTATAAGCAACATAATGTAACATCCACGTATTTTTATATTAGATAATAGATTAATATAATGATGAAGATATTTCATGTTTGTAAAAATATCTTCATCTTTTCCTAGGGAGAAGTTCCATGTACCGTTTTCATAGTTTTTTGCATTTTTCCTAATTATCCTCATCCTTCATAAAATGCCGCACCCTGTTATTCCCAAAATACTGTTTCCTTACCGTTAATCCCAACCCTAATAAAACACTCCGTTTATCTTTTTCTAAGACCTTCCTAATCCAAAAAACCCAAAATTCCATTTTAGAGTCCCGTTAGACCCGAACTGCGTTTTCCCGTTTCGCAACCCCTACCTTACACACTACCCTTAACCACTAGTATAAAAAGACGGGCCTTCTCTAGGTTAATTTAGTAATAGTCTGGAATTTGTACACGACACTCCTCTCTCGTGAAATACATACGAACTGCTCAACCTAGACCACGGCTTCTTTATTAAAAGAAGCCCACCAACATTTTCCTGACACCCACAAGAAAAATAAATTCGTTGATCGTAACACCAGGCAGATTCCAACGCGTACACTAGGCGAAGATTCCAAAAAATTAATTAATTAAGAATATAAATCACAACTCATACATATAAGAAAGGGCAAAATCGGAAACCCAAGAATACAAAATTCAGAACGGTACTATGGTCCTTTATTCTATAATAGGCGGAAACACGTTCACCCGATAACGAAAAAGGCAAGTCGTCACCGACTGAACGGACGGGGCCAGGTAGGGCAGGAATGACATATCGACCGAGTGGAGACGAGCGGCGGTCCTGCAGGCATGTCCCTCGAAAACGCTGGGCCTTGCGGGTTGAGGTTCCTCAGGCGGCTTCTCAGACGAACGGAGGAGGATGTCGTGGGCGATCGACGAGCCTTAGGCTCATCTCTGCTTAGGCGGACCAGAGAGGAAAACTACATTTCCCTGCCTGCCGTATCAGCAGCGGATAGGCCCAGAGGGCAATCTTCGCCTGCCGACGGAAACGGCCGAGTCTCTTCCTAGATGCTCCAGGGCTTCTTGGACCTGAGAGCAACAATAAGCTTAACGGAGAAAGCACTTTTAAAGCAAGTTCCGGTTGGCTGAAGAATTTTAAATGTCGTCAACTAATCGGAGAAATCTCAATCCAAGGTAAACATTTTTAAAGTATGATAACATGCAGGCTACTTCAACGTTCACCCAGGAATTTCAGACTATTCTCGAGGAAGGTTCATACAAATTGGACAACGTCTATAACGTAGATGAGACAAGCCCTGCATGGAAATCGTTGCTTCAGAAAACATTGATTGAGCAAAATGAGTTACAAACTACCGGTCGAAAGATTCTAAAAGACTATTTGACAATAATGACATGTGCCAATGCCACGGGTTATCATCGAATTCCATTACTAGTCGTCGGAAAATAGAAGAAGCCACGTAGCTTTAAGAATATTAAGACATTGCCCGTTAATTATCAAGGGCAACACAGTGCATGGATTGACAGAGAAATTTTCACGGACTGGTATACTATCGTCTTTTTACCAGCAATTAAAAAAGAGAAAAGTGGAGAAAATGAAAAATTTGTTACTGTTTATAGATAACGCTCCATCGCAACTATCGGCAGAAAGTCTCAATGCAATCAATAGTTGCTGCACTGTGATATTATTGCCTTAGAACTTGACAGTGTCGATTCAGCCCATGGAGCAGGGAATAATACAAGCCATGAAAAAAATATATAAGAAGTCATTACTTCGAGAATTACTTTTACAAGAGGCTGAAGATGATATTGACTCCGTTGTGTATTTCATAAAGTCATGGACACTGTTGCGATGCTGTGAAGAGATTATAGTTTGACGAAAAATAGCTTGCGGAACGGTTGGACAAATTTGCTTCGCGAAAATGAAGCATCAGCCCAGTTGTTAGATTATATCGCTTTCGATGAAAGTGCCTGAGCTCGACGAAGTCACCAAAGAAGAAATCGTCGAATGGCTAAAAGAGGACTCTTCCTATCTGACTTTTCAAGTTTTAAATGATGATAAGCTTCTTGAACTCAGCCCGCAATGTTCTTCAATCTCTGACCAAATTAACGAAGAGCACGAAGACGGAGACGATGATTATGACGAACAGGAGGAAATATCGCCTCGAAAAGCATTAAAAGCATTTGACTCCATTGGACAGTGGTATCGCATATTCTGGAACAGTGAGCCTGATGATTTTGCGTCATTGCATAAGATGCGTCAAGTAGTAGGAGAGATAATTATGGAAATTCTTGAAATAAGTGATGTTGGACTGTATAATGTAAAATAATTTATTTATAAAATATAAATTTACTTTTCAAATAGATTTATTATTTTATGTTTAAATCCCAAAAAGTCAAGACACCACAATACCAAATAAGATCTAGAAAAGAGTTTGACAGATGTAAAAAGGGGCATGTCTGTTAGAACTGTAGCGAGGTGAGCGAGGGTTATTCGAGAATGCAGGTTGGAAAATAATGGACGTGTTTTAGTCATCAGGAATTTGCATCATTTCTAAGGAGGGTTTTGGAAAAACTTACACGTTAAATAGATTCTTGAAGATAACTTCGGAAAAACTGGATTGATACTATTTTCAGTTGATGCAATAAATTATAGTAATTATTTAAAAAATTCTCAAATCACTACAATTACTTTTTCTGAGGTCTCGTTAGATGAGACGAAAGTCAAATTGATGATGAATTGTTAAAGATTTTCAATAGTCTTCTAGGAGCAATCCAGTAGACTAGTCCACCACAACGCAAAAGTTTATTTAAATTTTGGCAAAAAATAATGAAAAAGGTGACTTCCAATGATTCTTGCCTAAATACTGTTACTAAAAAGGTTACAACATAAAGTGATGACCCAAAAGTAAACCTGTGAATCAACTAGCGGTATCTTAATCTCATTCAATTTCTAATTTACACACCTTTTAGATTAAATGTTAAAACGTTGAGTTTTGTAAATTTCATATTTGTAAATCGTATTTATTTTAACTATGGTGGTGATAGACTGTAGGCCCTCGTAAAAATGACATTGATAAGAATGTATTAATATAAAAATGGTAAAAGATTTTATTGATATGTATATAATACATGTTAAATAAAAATTAATCGCAAGATTGATCTTTTAGAAGATAAAAAACAGTCAAGTGAACAAGACATGATAAAGAACGAACACTAGGTATATTTATAATACGAAAGCAATCAATCGTGCTGTCATAATATGCATATGCACTGTCATAATGCACAATGGAAATGAATACCAATGTCAAAAATATATTTATTTTTTGTCTTTATTCTCGACAATCCAAAAATGTTTCTTCACACCAGACAAAGAAATCCTGTCCGAACTCCTACGTCTTATAAGCTGTAATTAAAATAATTTTATTTTTATTTCAAAATTCAATCAATTAAATGAAATATATTTTCCAATCTAATCAAGCTTAGCAATAACCTATGCAAATTCACTCATTAATTATTAACTTTATTGTACTATAGTAAAGTGCATTTTAACCAATACTTTATGATTATAATTATGTAACTCAATTCCTACCAGACTCTGTTACTGATTGTGAGATAGGCTGCCACGATGTGACTTTGACATTATATATTATAAAAATAAAATCTACAGTACAAAAACCTGAAACAAATAAAACTGTACATATGTATAAATACCTTAGAAATAAGATCTTTTGCGCCTGCTTTGATATATATGGGCCACTCAATGTTGACCTGCTTTATCTTTGAATACGTTTCTTGCTGTGAATCACTAAGAAATGGGGGGCATCCAACAAGAAATTCATAGCACAGAATGCCCAAACACCAATGATCAACATATACGTCGTACGAATCTCCAGTCACCATTTCTGGTGGTAAATAATCCAACGTTCCACAAAGAGTATTTCGTCTACAATTATCATTAAAATCGATGTGCAGGAGAACAGTAATTTTTAAATTAAAATCAGTATGTATCATTATAAATTAGAAGTATAAAATACGTATTTTTACTAACTTTGAAGAAGGCGCATGAACGGACCACCCAAAATCTGCTAACTTTATGTCACCTTGATAAGTAAGCAATAAGTTTTCCGGTTTAAGATCTCGGTGTATAACATTATTGCTATGACAATATTCCAATGCATCTGCAACTTGATATGTATACTTGGCAGATCTGCAAACATATGTTATCATTCATATTAATATAAAATCACTTGTATGTAACCAGCCTCATATTAGTAAATTATTTAGTTATTTGTACTCTAATTTTAACATTTCTGTTTTACTAAAAAAAATTATTATTTGAGCAAGAATATATTTTTGTACTTATATCCTTCACCCATGCCATTCTATTTCTACTACGGAATACTCTGGCTTTAGCGTACAAAAGCTTTACAGCTCGTATGCAGTAAATACATCTAAACGTTAATATGTCCATGAGCATCATCAATAATGAATAACAAGAAATAAAAATATAAGAAAGTAATAAGTCTATTTCAAAGTAACGAAAAAGAAACGAAAAATCATATACGCATGTAACCGCTGAAAATAAAGATTGCCGAATTACATTCATTATATCCTTGATATTTTATCCTGTATTAGTACAGCATCTTTACGAAACTTTTGTTTCTACATACGAAAATTGTATTTCTTTTCAAAGCATATTTTAATTGTTAAATATTACTACAATCGAATTTCAATAAAACATACTGAATTCCTTTCACTAATTTCAACTTTGCTGCTCCCACTCTTGTTAATTACTATGCTCCTTTTATCCTGCTCGACAAATTGTAGTTGACCTGCGCAGACAAATGCGGTTGAATTTTAAACAATTGATATTAAGGATCGACGTCGCTTACTTTACTCTTAATTACAATTGGTCGAGCACGATAAAAGAGTAATAGTGGTTGAGCGAGATATGGGGACAGCTAAGAAATTAAACACTGTCAAGTTACTTGGTTCCAATAAATTGTATGTATGTAGGTTCAATTGTATTTTAGAAGTCGATTTGGTGATGAAGATACTGTTAATGCCAATGCTGTAGTTAACACTCATATTTCTTTGTCACTAAATATGATTGTAGCTTTAAATACATTATGTTATTTAAAGTGCTTTCCACATCTTGACTTTTATATAGATTGACATAACATTTGGTATAATATATTATATATTAAAAAATACGTACAAGTGTTCGCTGAATCGTTCTCCAGGTTGACGCTTTAATTCCCTATAAAGTTCGCCCTTAGCTGCGAATTCAAGTACCATAAAGATTCGCTTTTCGTCGTGAAAATATGTAAATAACTGAAGAATGTATGGGTGCCTGTATTATAAAAAATAATCGTAATTATATTTACCTAACGTTCTCTGTCGTGAGAATTATTAGTTAAACTTAATATGCAATCCTAAGAGGCAACCGTAGTTTATTTGTATGCACACACTGCTTGAATACAGCAATTATCCTGTGGTAAAATTTTGATATACAAATTGTTGTCTTTAAATCTGATAGAATTTCAATGCATGCATAGTTTGATTAAAATTGTATATATAATATAATGACATTAGAAGCGAAAAATACTTTGACATTTATGTTCTGTATTTTTAATTTTACTTTACTATTTCTTGAGTTTAAACTGATTTTTAGTTTCAGCTAAGCTGGAGATAATTAGAAATGAGGATTAATTAGAGGCCTCACATATCAATAAGTGTAATACTGCCTGAAAGTAAGTAATATTGTTAAGCACTATTAACCCTTTAAGTGCAAAGCTCTTTAGATTTAAACTTTCGCTGGACAAATAGATGCGTCCATAGCACTGAAAGGGTTAATGATATCATAATATACTCATGCACTTGTTATATCCTCAAAACGACTCATATCGATACTATTGGTGACAAAGTGAAACACTCTCGTGTTTCAAATATGATAAAAACGAATTAATTCCTATAATAAAGAGAAATTAGGAAGAAAAAATTTACATTATATCCCCTCTCCGCCCGCACTATTTTATGAAACGAAGAATGCGGGAGCAACCAATATTTTCTCAAAATATAAAATAAAACTGAATAGTGATGCAAAAGCGTTCTTAGATTTGGACATTATAGCACCATCTATAAGTATAATCGTCGTGGAACATCCTAACTTCAGAAAAATGATATACAATGCAGATGGGCCTTGTAAGCTTAATAATACAGTAGGCTCTATAACTGTATGCCGTAAGGAAAGTGTCCTTTACAGTTATCTTTTTCCAAAAATTTTTCGCTTCTATAGACCTCAGATCATGCGAATATAGAGAATCTCCTGTAGTAATTCCCAAATAGAAATTGTAATTGTCGATGTTTATAATTAATCTTTCATGTACATAGCTCTTTTAATCTCAAATATCATGTACACTTATAAACTACGGTTGCTCATCTGTAGCCTTGTCATCGAACACAATTTTATATAGCCTGGGGTTCTATGTCAGAGTAAATATAATAAATTGTTAATTTAATAAGAAACCATATCAGTGTAAAATATTACTTTAAATGTGATTGTATCTCAATTTCACGCAATGCTTGTTTTTCGACGCGACTTTTTGTTAATTCAATTTTATATAGCGTTTTCAAAGCAACCATATATCCACTTGATCTTTCTCTTGCCAAGTAAACTCGCCCGAATTTTCCACGACCTAATGGTGCACCAAGTTCGAAATCATTTATACTCCAAGCATACCTGTAACACAAACATTCATTTTATGATATGATTTTTAATTGTTAATATATCGCAATAATGATTCTTAAATTGTACTTTTCACCACGTCCTTCAATATGATCCTTCATGTTATCAAGCATTCGCCGTACATCCTCATGATATTCTGCAGGAGTATCCCGTGGAACGTTGAATTTGTTTGACATATCTGATTGGCTTTCCTTGTTGTTGAATACCTACAACTTTTTAGGAAAAATATATGTTTTAATATAACTCATTTAGAACAGTAATTATTATGCAAATTTTGATTTTTGTTATCATTCTCTGTTGGATCTATTAAAATTAGTATTTCACATATTTTTAAAAACTATTGAATGCAACATTAGTAGGTCTTTGACTGATAAACAACACTTAGACACACTTGCTGAGTTGTGCACAGTAACATTGTTTACTTGATTTTCTATTCGTTTGTACTATTATAATGAATTATTCCTGAGTTATTTCGAATGTAAGAAAATGTTTTATGCTATGTATATGCGTATACAATTAAAAGGTGCATATTTTCAGCTCCTTTGAATTTGCAATTTTGTTATCATGTTCTCTTTATTAGTTTAACAATAAATACTACTATATTTCTGAATATTATTTTTGAGTTTTATCACTGTGAATCACTGTAGCCCAAGCAATTAACATGAAATATATTTGATTCATTCTCAAAAATTTCATGATTCGTTCGATAACTTCAGAACTGTTTACTGCTCTACAAAACAAATTGAGACTATTACAGAAAGATAAAAAAGGAAAGAGTAAACATAGAATTTGAGGAAGGTATATCTGCACTCACTGCTAGCAAAAACTATTGAATTCAGAAAATGTTTATATTTGTTATATATAATTTGTTATGAGAGGCAACATTGCACTCTTCTTCTAAAAAAGCATAAGATAAAAATTCAATGGCTATGGCCCAAAAACGAAACACATGTTCCAATTTTATATTTCTTTTTTAGAAGTAAACGATTCTAGAAATCAGCTTATTGCAGCCAAAAGAGTTTCAGTTTACTCTATGATTTTGCTACATAGATCAAGTTAATTGCATTTATAAATTAACCATAATATTTCAATAGAGAAAATTATATTTACATAAAAATGAGATTCTTCCACAATACTATAAGCATGGTGAAAAGAATAGCCTCGAAAGAAGACAAAAATTAAAACGATCAACCATATACTACAACAATTTTTGAAGATTGCAACTTTCCTAGTGTGTTCTTTACTATCTTATGTTACAAATAATTAATTACATCTACTTATAACACAATGATTCAGTAGTACCTGGTTGTTTTTATTTGTAAAATTATATTATTATGTTATAATTTTTTTATTCACATTTGGAAAGTTACAATTCTGATGTCAGAAAGTATTAGATAACTTTTAGAATGATTTTTTATATTACTTATGTTTTGAACAATAGAAAGTTGGTGGTGTAAAAAAAGAAATTCAATTAATATTCATAACTTATTTATTTATTACTTCATTATAATGCTGTAACTAATTGAATTTCCTTTATACAATGCTTAAAACCTTTTCCAAATATTTCAAATACATCTTTACAACTTTTTATAATTATAAAAAATTATGAAATTTAATTATACAAATGTTGAAGCAAACTAAGATTTAAGAACTACTTTCAAAACTGTATTAGTTATAATATAAAGAATATAGCACAAATATGAAGAAAAATAAAGTAGGCAGAATGTATTCTATAGAATTTTTATATTATAGAAAATAAACAGTTTTTTCAATAATGAAGTATATATCATGTTAAAAATTGAATTCTATAAATATGATGATAATCACAGTTATGATATTAGAAAATGGCATAACGTACATTGCAATATTGTTTTTTCTATATTACTTATATTTTTATAAGGTAATATTTAAACGGTACGTGTCCTTTTAAATGTTGTGACATTACAAATATAGAAGTCAGAGTGAAATTCTATTTAAATTAACAATTAATAGTCACAATGATTTATTTGATAAAAAATTGTCCCCAGACTCAAAAACTGGGTCCAAGCCCCAGATATCAGATTTTAACAAACTGCTTCATTCATAATAATAGTATACATTCACTAAATTAAGTCAAAACTTGATTATTTATTTGATATAGGGGTTAATATATATTTGTATTCCCAATAAACTTGTAAGATCGGTCCTACTTTAAGGGTCAATCTTCTTAAGCAATGCGCTACAGAAGAATTAATTGAATAAAAATTTACTCTTAGAGCCTAATTGCCTTTTAACCTTTATAAGTGCACCAACAATTTGTACAAATTTGAATTTCATTATTGCTTACAATTACAAAGTAAAAGACTCAAACGTATTTTACTCACCACTCAACTAAGGTCTTACTCTACTCACTACTTTCAATTTCTTCTCCTTTTTCTAGGGGCTTCCTCTTCCTGAAGAACACGTACCAGTTATTTATCTTTTCTCTTTTTTCCTTATAGCTGACTCCTCTAAAGATGAAATGTATCAGTGTCAGTTATTTTCAAATTTCCTTCCTTCCTTCCTTTCCTTATGGCTGACTCCTCCAATGAGATGTGCCAGTATTTTCAAATTTGAAAATTATTTAATTATTAAACAGAGACAATCCATTACAAAGGAAAGAAAATACATAACGCCATTGCTCTATTCCCAAAGGCTTATTTAGACCAAAAGCAACGGACAGCCAACAGCAGACAGCGACCAATGCACAAACAGCATTGTGCTGGGACGGTATAAATTAAATCCAAAGCAGGTTGCCCATTGGCTGCCTGTTGCTCGTTCCTTGCGTCCACCATATTCCGTAAAATAAGGATTCTCCATTGAAGTTAGTATTCTACAATAATGATTTTTCTATGACTAATAAATGTCGCTTCAATCGCTAGCTTCGCGTAACGGCAATTTTACTATTTCCGACAAAATTAATTTTATGTTCTGTGTGTGATCGTTTACACTTTGTTTCGTACAGTGTGAGAGTAATAAACATTTCTACATTCAGTATCATACTCCGTATTTTCAAAAAGGTAAGTATCTTATTTTTATGTACGGTCGTATTGATTATAACCAAGAAGTGTTCGTTGGTGGCTTAACTTCATTTATGTATAGTTTATGAAACATAACATAACCTCATTAATTAATTGTACTGCGTATATCACTTCGTAAATGTGGATTATTCATCACTTTGTATTAAAGGTTTCAATATCTAAACGGATGAGTACCTACATATTTATATTTTATAAAAATATATGTTCACACCTTAGATCTCTTCTTTTGTAGTTCAGAAATCTTTAATTTTCGCCTTTTATAGTCATAAAATATTATTTATCTTCAAGCTTGAATTTGTATATCTCTAATTATTCCGATGCATTCATTTTAGGCTAAACTAGAATATGACATTTTCTTTAAGTTAGCAGTGGATTGATTAGTTTTTTTATATACAATATATATAATGCTTGAAGAAGGAGTCGTATTTTGCAATTTTACTAAAATTTAACCCCAGCTAACCAATCATTTTCATGGTTTAGGAGTTTATCCACAGGTTAAATTTTAATCAAAGGTGAAGAAACTGACCATAAGAGATAAAGAACAAGCATGCTAACATATTCTGAATTATAATATGAAATATATTTGTCTTTATTTTGCTTTTTGAGGTTCATTTTAAATAGCAATGTTAAATAGCAGTATTGTATCAGTATGAAGTACAGGCTATCAATAAATGCTGAGCTGTTATCTGTAACTTCATGATTTTATGAGTAATGCTTTATGATTATATATTTGATATCATTTCAATCTGTTAAGAAAAAGCGATCTATTATTACAAGTCTGACTTTTTGATCAACAAACCTTGATAGTACGTAACCAATTGATGAAATGATCATTTGAAGTCATCTTTTTGGACATTTAAAAAAATGTTCTCAAAACATTATTTTTTAGTATAGTAATATTAAATCAGCATTATCACTATAAAGAGATTATTAATTTATCAATTATAGCTGTTGAACTATAAGAGTAGGTATATTATAATTATGTACATTATCTATAAATATTTGTTAAGTACAGATTCTATAATCCCTAATTTTTTTAAGAATTTGAATTACACCATTTTCTGTCACATTGACTATGTTTTTTATCTTTCTCTATCTTCTTTGTATATTCAACACTTTAAATAAATAACTCTGTTTATATTACAAGTATAAAAAAAAATTATAGTTCTGTTTTATATGTTCCAGTAAATGTGTTGCGCTATGAATGCTGAAGGTCTAGAATACTGAAATCAATATGTTTGGACAAACAGGAAATCCTCCTTTTGGTAAGTTTTGTTCATATGTATAATTGACATTATGAAAGTTTTAGTGTATTACAAATATTTGTAACTTATTTTATATAAGATTCAGTACAAAATAAAGGTAGAAAAAGAATTGTCATGAGAAACGACTATGTGTCATTGCAAGGTTACATCTTTTGCACTCGTCGTATACAATATGAACTTTATATGGGCGGTTTTTAAAATTCGATAGTTCTGGAGATAGATTAATATTATTGATACATTTGTAACCGATGGTTGGACCGTTTCTCTTTAACCCTTGACAGGTAGGTACACCTATTTTAACGCGCGGACCTACGGGTACACCCCGGGCACTAAGTGCCCAGTCGCCTATTTTCCTTAATAACTGCGGTCCTAAAGCGTAGAGCAAGTTTTTAATCAAAATAACCCCGGTTCAATTAGATTTAATAAATTTAAAGTCTGGATATCAAAATTTGAAAACATGCGATTTTCGCGGTTTTTTTTAAATTCAATATATTGAGACGTTTCGTGATCTTTAGGATTCGGAATCACGAGACTTTTTACAGGGTTTGTAAACTGGGCAGGCGTCTTTTGAAGGAATGTAACACTTGAGTTTTAAAGTCAAAGAATCGTGCTATATTGTCTATAAATTACACTCTAACAGATCCTTAAAATTCTATTCCACTCTCTCACACACACGCACTCTTACAATTGTTTCCAGTTATATTATCGTACCGTAGACGACAAGAAGTATGTTTGTGTGTCCTTTCGTGATACTAGCTTTTAGGCGTGGGAAAGAGATAGCTGGTGCTAGAATACAGCAAACTGCACAATGCGTCCGAAAACTATAGTCCAGTTGATGATGGGGATGATAATGATTCGGTACCAACAGATGATCACAATGACCCCCGTTTGCCGAATCTTTTACCTTAAGGATGGGTTGGACTCATACAGCTACTAGTCACATTGACATTGGGAGCTGAGTCCCTTTTTTACGTGGATCTGCACTCCTGACAATTTTATTACAATAACTTCACTGCAGGAGGCTGCAGAGGTATTTTGGATGTACTTCCTGACACTAGGGGGTATCACAATGACTCTTTAGGCCTAGTAAGAACAGTGGAGAGTTCAGACAGCTAATTATCATAATGATGGTGGGAGCTGAATTTTTTAAGGAGAGATGCTTTGTGCCTTTGGTTGATTCCTGCAGCTCCACCACAATGACTTTGCTGCAGAAGATCTACCGGGATAGCAAATTTCCTGATACGGGGTTGAGATATAATGCTCTCCAAAACCAAAAATTGCCCAGGATGAGTTCCCACAGTTTGCAGTACAATACTGTTCACTGGTTCGCTCTGGAATAAATGATAGATTTCCTATTTGCTTCTGGATAATTATACTTTTCACAATTTTACACCTTCTTGTCGACTTTCGGTGTACACAAGTCTAGTCGGACTTGGATTGTACGTAGTAGGTGGATCGGAAAGTAATGTTGTTTTTTAACATTATATTCAAATGCGCAGATACGACATTACTTTCCGATTCCCCTAATACAATACAAGACGCTAGCCAGAACTCCAATCCCCTTAATAATTCTCTCAATTTATATAAAATGGAAAGTATGATATTTCATAATGAATTTAGAAAAAAATTATACATTACAGGAGGGTTTAGTGCAACAACGCCGAGTAGTCCATTCGCAGCATCTGCTTTTGGAAAACCAAACGCCACTACAAGTTTTGGCACAGGATCTGTTCCTGTGTTTGGAAGTGGTAATGCTACTGTTTTTGGGTCAAAACCGGCAGTTTCTACAACCAGTCCCTTTTTTAATACTGCAACTACAACTCCTGCATTTGGACAACCTGCTACAACTCATTCGTCTTTTGGAGGTAATGTACCGTTTAATTTTGAATTGTTGCTAAATGAATATTTTTCATATTTGTTTCTGTTTCGTCTGTAGAGTAAGTGAAATAAGACAGACTCTTTAAGGAAATAATACTGTTGCAGAAATTACAAAGAAATATAATTAACTCACTTTCAACTAATTTTATGGGATTAGCCGAAGTTGCCTCAACTTCCCCTACCATGTCGTTTTAATTATAATTTGGATACAGATTGTTTATTTTTGACAATTTATCAATTTTTTTTATTTGCAGGATTCAATACTACAAATACAAACACAAATTTGTTCAACACCCAGCAAAATGCAAATACTAATTTATTTGGAACTCGCAATACGGCACCTGCTTTCGGCCAGTCGAGTACTCCAAGTTTTGGTTTTCCATCTTCGACCAGCACCAGTCTTTTCGGTCAAACACAACAGCCAGCGCAACAAGTAACTCCTTTTGGGCAAAGCAACCCAGCCGGGAACACAAGTCTTTTCGGTTCTACGACAGGTAACATCCTCAATTGCTTTTTCACGACGTTAATCAGTGCAAAATTTGTAGAATATATTTTACGTTTACTTTTTGATTATTATGTATGCAGTTGTCATGAGGGTTATTATTAGTCTTGTATGATATAATACGTAATTTTGTATTAAAAACTTCCGCGGTGTCTATTAAAAGGTGAGTATGTGTAAGTCCCGTGTTTAAACCGCTTTAGTCACGAGTGTTTTAAAGGAAGTGAAGAATTAAAGACATTTCTCGTTTCAGCGAATGTTTCTAATTTCTTTAGACCAGTCGTAGATATAATGGTTAATGTACAATATGCGTATGAAATTTTATAAATTACGTTGCCACTTAATTCTCTTAGGTTTTATACGCACATTTAAGTATACTTACGTACTTTTTCTTCGGCCATGTAATGTGAAATGTTTCGATACATTTTTCAGAACTCTAAATTTCCTACAAGTACCTAAAAAAAATTTTTGCAAAACATTTATAATTTGTTTTTCAATTATAATTAGAAAAATATGTTACTGATTATGGAACTAATAAGTAATAATATACATAGAATTTAGAAGAAAATTATTTCATAATTTTGCTCTTGGATCCAGTAAAAAATTTCATGAAAAATAATAATCACCCTATGGATATGAATCAAAACTGCTGTTGTTTTAGTACTAAAAAAATGTTGTACTTACATAGTTATTTTTTCCATTTATAATGCTTTGGAGATCAGAAACACTGCCACGTTTATATGCTACAGCTTTTCAATGGTATCAGCCAAACAATGTTTATAATTTAAAGTGAATGGACCAGCGTCGTTGATTATCATTGTTCAAAGCATTTAACAATAAAAAACAAGCATGCCTAATATTAATATGACGAGTTCACGTAGCAAAATACTGTTATTTGTAGGATTCGGAAGCAATACCGCCATGGGAGGTATGACTGGTACAGTAATCAAATTCACTGCTGTTACTAGTACAGATACTATGGTGAAAAATGGAGTTACTCAAAATATTTCAACAAGACATCATTGCATCACTTGCATGAAAGAATATGAAAACAAATCATTGGAAGAATTACGTCTAGAGGATTATACAGCCGGTCGTAAGGGAACTGCTCAAGGTATTTTGTCTAATTTCTGTTTATTAAATTTATTTTGTACTTTAAGAATGTTACTTGCTACTTTAATACAAAATACAGTTTAATCTAATTTTTTTTTTTATCACTACCCATAACATTAATTACACATCATTCATAAACTATTCATTTTATTTCTGTTCCTAATAATTGAATATTAGAGTTTCACATTATTTTAATTATATTCATCTGTCTATATCGATATTATATTTGTTATCAACAGCTGGACAAACTACAGGTCTATTTGGCGCCACTCCTCAAGCTTCACCTTTCGCAAATACAGCTGCAGGAGCAAGCTCATCAACTGGCGCAGGTACTTCAACACCCGCTAAATCCGTTTCTTTTAAGTATAATGGTATTATTTATATTTAAGTATTTTCTATTTTGGTTTAGGTTTCGGATCCATGACGAGCGGATTCGGAGCTAACGCGCAAACTGGTTCAACAAGTCTTTTTGGAAAACCAATGACTGGTTTTGGAACACCAGCAACGACAACTAGTGCTTTTGCCTTCAATCCAACAACAACGTCAAATCTTTTTGGCGCCAATCCTCAAGCAAAACCTTTTGGAAGTACGCTGCTTCTTTTATATTTGTTAAACGAAGTTAAGAATAAACATACCACAGGTTTAACATATTTATCTTTTTATTTACTTATAGCTGTTGCTCCAACTTCTTTATTTTCGTCGACCAATACTGGTCAGACAACAGGCGCTGGTTTTGGTGCTATCAGTGGTGCACAGACAAGTGGTTTCGGAGCTTTTGGGTCGACACCAGCTAATCAGGTATGATCATAAGCTAATTGTTATTTGCATTACCTACTTAACATAGTCCCAGATTTAAAAAATTGGGCGTCTAGTCATTCGTGGGTAGCAGTTTTCTTTATAAAAAATTAAACAAAAGCACAAAAGGGACTGGGGCGAGGGGGGCTGTCGGCAATAACCGAGCTCGTAATTTTACATTTATAAAAAAAATATTAATATTCATAGAACTTGTCTGTGCGACTTCTCAAAATGTATTTTAATAATTGGCCCCTAATACTTTAGTCGAAAATAAATAGGCGGGTTCTGTAAATGTTAATAAAGTTTACAAAAAAAAACATAAATAGTAATCCTTTGAAAAGAATTAAATATACGAATAACATTTATTTTAAGATCCATGCCACATTGAGCGAAATGTCATTGAAAATAAATTGATCAGATTGTATGTTATATTTTGGACAATAAAATATCATTTTATGTTTAGGGGCTTGGATTGTTTAATCAAAACAAGCCAGCTTTCAATGCTGCGGTTTCCACCGTTAGTAATGGTTTTGGAGCATTTGGACAAGCCGCACCAACAAATACTAATACTGGCTTCTTTGGCACTAAGCCATCAAGTGCCACTGGATTCGGTACGACGTCAACCTTTGGATCTACAACGGCACCCACTTTTGGAACCGCCGCAGGTTTCGGTACAACACCAAACACTGGTACATCTTTATTTAACACGTCTTTTAAATCCACAGGACAAACCCCGGGCTTTTCTTTTGGCTCAACACCTATATCTTCGAGTAACCTCGGTTTGTATCTTCAATATATGTTTGTTATATAAATGCTCTACTAATAAATTATGTATATTGCATATTCTTACTTCTGCTGGTATTTTAGGTGGTAATACAGGTTTAACTCTAGGAGGCGGGTCCAGTCTTTTTGGGGCACCAAAGCCAGGTGGTCTTTTTGGAAATAGCAATACAGGTGCTTCATTTAACAGTAGTGGCACATTTGGAGCCTCAACTGGTTTTGGGACAAATACAAATGCTACTCCTGGACTTGGCGGAGGCATTATTGGTGGAGGGTAAATATGTTTACGATTTTCAAATTTTTTCATTTACAGTTTCCATTCGCTTTCAAAAAGTATATATGTAAGTTGATATTTATACTAGCCAGCTATCTTTTTAGGCACATATAATAACATGCATCTTTATTATTTTAGGTTAGGAACAAATCAGACTCAACAGAACAGTGGATCGGTATTGATGCATCAGCAAATTTTGGCGTTAGTATCTTCACCTTTTGGTGATTCGCCTCTGTTGAAAGATCTCCAGCCTGTAGGTATCACATGTCACACTTATTAGTGTAATTCTTTGTGTGAAATATTTTATTTCCGTTCTGAAATTTTTATTTAACTTTCATCGCATTTATACATTAATGAGAAATTTTCATATTCAGTGAGTTCCTATGTAAAAATGACACAATGGGGAAAATACTGAATGATATATATTTTCTTTCATTGTTGTACTAGAAATCCTACTAGATAGTATTGTCAAATATCTTTTACTATAGTGTAGCAGCAGTTATTTTGTTTTCTTTATCTTTTAAGGCATCTGGAAAAGCAGAAGAACTGTTAAAACCTACAAACACGTCGTCTCGAACTCTAAACAATTCGCAGTATAAAGTGGCAACAAATAACAATTCACCAAAGATTAAAGCTCGAGCTGTTACTTCAACACATTTATCTAAGGTAAAGTTAATTATTATATTCTGAGTAAATAGGTTCGCTATGTACGTGAGAATGGATGAACGTACTTTAGAATTACTTTAGGTATTTATCTGTACGTCATGCCTTCCGTGAAACCTTTAGAAGACAGAAAACCGGTTTTTCATATGAACATTGTTTTTTTTTTTTCAGAAATCTCTGTTCGAAGGACTTGAGGAAGAAGACCCGACATTGTTGGAAGCTTTCCAGCCTCGCACTAACACAAAACGCTTAGTGCTCCGACCAAAACCAATAGTAAGTCCACAAACGCAGACAACGGAAGATGCAAATTTGCATAATAATGATGAAGGAGGAAGAGATGAAAAAGTGAAGTCTCCATCTCAACTATACAATAATGATTCTGCCGACAAAGAGAATCATGAACAAGATCATCGATCCAATGATGATAGAAGATCATCCATATCATGGTAAAATTAACTAATTCTCTTTGGATTTAGAAGTAATGTTGTAGGATTATATTATCATTTTTTAAAAATATTTTCTATCGCAACCTCATCTAATTTTATACACTATATTCTTGTGTAATTTGTTCGGTGTAGGTTAAAATCTAGTCTCACTCGAAAAAATAAGACTCCGGATGAAGATTTTGAAGGACACAGGTCTCCATTTCGGAATATGGGCGGACTCGATGAAGCTCTTGAAAATACTGTTTCTGAATTAAGACCTCACAGTGCTGCACAAATTCCATCATCATTGAATAATACTGCTACACCCAATCAATCAAGTAGCTCAATCAACATTTCTAGAACAGGGATGGATTCTACTGGTCACAGTAGTGGTATGTATAATTCTCAAAGTATCTACTGTGACGTGATTTTTCGATTCACGGTCACAAGGCAACGCCAGCTACCGATACAGATAACGTTCTCGATTTCTGATTCCCTTCGGGTTGCCACCCTGCTCAGAAACTACGCTGTCAGCACAAGTACCGACCGAGGTGTCACAAGCTGGCTCGCGCTCCCCTGCTATCCGTTGATAGTTTTTCTAGCCGTGTTTCGATACGGTACAGCAAGTTCTCGTTCGTATAGTTCTCGCGTTGCTCTCGCAATATCTAAAAAAGTCTATGAATTTCCTGTGTGCGTTTCGGAGGTGTAGTGCAGTGCCCACCTGAGTGTCCTTTGGATGTACTTCTCGACCTTCACGGATTAGCTGCACCAGCTCCGGTGAGGACTTCCAATTTATTAATTGGTGAATGGATTTCGATTTGATTGTTCAGATTCGTTCTGTTACGTTGCTCTCTGTATCTCGCACTATTTGCCTTACCTTTACTCCGACCCTCTTTACCTCAACCTAGCAGACTGAGTGGCCGTGCAATTCCGTAACCGTCCACTCCCATTCGTGCATCCAGTTGCATTCGCTGATTTTACGCGACCCCAAAGATCAGTACCTACGGTTGCGTTTCTCGATTTTGCGCGTCTTTAAAAATCGACAGGATCCGTTAAGTTATCGCATTATTTGATAGGTTCTGTCAGAGCTCTCGTTTTGGTGGAGTTGGGCCTGTTCCACCCCAATCAAAGGGTGAACGGCCGAAGGTAACGTAGGTTGGTTCTCGAACATAGTTCGTTCTCGGATGTTTCGCTACCGGTATTGAGTTAAGAAAAAGATAAGTTACACTACATATTATTTCAATTGATTTATTATCACACAACATGCAATGTTTATTGCCACGATTACTTAACGCTATATGACCATTAATTTTCATCAAATTCAAAATTGCAATTGACAATGAATATATTTTATATGAAATTGATCTGATTTAAAGAGATATGTTTCTTGTAAAGACTTTTAATACTTTGTTAACTTTGAAACTAATTTTTCAATTAACAGATTATTAATTATGCTCTTCTTATTATTAACGAATTTTTGAAAATCCTTTCTATAGCAACAATTAAGCACGATTTATTTTAAGAGTAGCAGTAATACTCCTACACATTATCATAATTTGTGATATACGGTTAAGGAACTCTCTACAGTGTGTATCCTTTTCTGTAGAGCTAGTTATGCAATCCCGCGTCCCATCGAAGCTTAAGGGGAGCAGAGAGTCTCATCTCCTCATGTCGTAGGTAATGCGAAAATCGGTATTTTAGCATTGTCAACCTATACTTATATTAAAAGCGCGATCGGTAAACAACCCAATGCTGTATGGCTGGCATAGAGATATATGTGTCCTCTGTTACCCCAACTGCTGCCAATGAGGTTTCAATAGTTCTTTTGGCTGCTCCTATGATGATCAACTGTTGCGATCATCCACATCTCCTGGCATCTTCCTTGACGTAGTTGGCGAATGTGGTTTAGATAATTGTACGAAATAATAGAAGTTAGACTAATGTTTGGAAATTAATGAGAAAAATAACAGATGTAATATAATTAGTTGTTGCCAATATTAATATTAAGATAATTTTTGTTAACAATATACACGTCTTCTTTACAGATTCAAGTCATGAACTCGAAGATACATCTAACTTAGTGTTTCAATCAGATTACAAACCAAATGCAGCTCACGTAACTCTTCGACGTGTGGGTTATTATACAATTCCCGCTCTTGACCGATTGGAGGAGTATGTTAAGGGCGAAACATGTATTGTACCGAATTTCACAGTGGCCCGAAAGGGTTACGGTAACGTTTATTTTCCGGATTCATTCGATGTTTATGGATTGAACCTAGACGAAATTGGTAAATATAATTTAATTATAGTAAAATAAGTAACAAATTGAATGCGTATTTGCCTTTCTTTAATTATTTAATGACGTTTTTTTTTTTTTTAATTTATTCAGTACATTTTCGACACAAGGAAGTCATAATTTATCCAGACGATGAGAAAAAGCCACCTGTTGGTCAGGGTTTAAATCGCAGGGCGCAAGTTACACTAGATAAAGTATGGCCACATGACAAAACACTTCATGAGCCAATTACAAATCCAGAACGTCTCACCGCAATGAACTATGAAGCTAAGCTTCGCAGAGTCTGCGCGAAACATGATACTCGCTTTCTTGAATATCGTCCAGAAACAGGATCGTGGGTCTTTAAGGTATGATTCCATTACTTAAAAAATTTATAAACGCTATATCGTTAAGGTTACTGTTCAGTTAGGAAAGGTATAGGTGTTTGCAGCTCAAATCTTGACTGGTGATGAAAATGTAAAGCTTTCAGTAGACTTTGACAGGAAAGATATGTCACAGTTTTGAAACCCTGACACAGATTGTTGAGTAATATTTTAGAATTGGAATCATGTTATTCATTAATAAATTAATGAATTAATAAAGCAAACCTTATTCTTCATCGGGGGAAGTTTCGTTAGAAAATTAATGAAACGAAACATTTACTTAGAATTGAAGTTTTTTATTTCGAACTATTATATTCACAATAATTTCACATGTTACATCAGCACTTTATAAAATTAACTTTTTTTGTTACAACGCTTTTAGCCATACTGCTTTCTCATAACAGAATGTTAATGAAGAGTCAAGGATACCAAAATATGTCGCTTGATATTAATCACTGAAGAATTTTTAATTGAAAAGTCCTTATATACGCTATTTTAAAGTACACACTAAACATTGTAAATGAGGAAATATGTAGTAGTCCGTAACTTAACAGTATCTTAATCAAGTACACCCATATTTAAAGTTGACAATCTCCAAAATAAAGCGTTGTATACAGTTTTTTGTCGACAATTACGACTTTTTGCTACGAGGAATCTACTTCCACAACATGATTATCCTTAAAAATAATAGATTATATAAGTTTCTATGAGGAACGAAAAGAAAGGAAAATATAATTTTTTTCGCCTAAACTGATAACTTAATGTTTATCTATTTAATGTATCATGTTATATTTATGATGTACTTTCATATTTCTAGGTTGACCATTTTTCAAAATACGGCCTTAGTGATTCAGATGATGAAGACAATGATGTTCCTGAAGATCCGAGAATGAAAAAATTCAAAAATTCCAACACTAAAATTCAGAAGCCGCCTGGAACATTAAAACAGCACATGAAACCGATTCACGAGTTTTTTAGCAACGGACATTCAGTACGTCGAGAAAACCTTCATTGAGACATTTGAAATTTTAAAAATTAATTAAGTTATTGCTTAATTGCCATTGGAAATTAATTTTTGTATAATTTTTTTTGCCGAATATAATATTATGTATCTATGTGGTCTGTTTATTGTATTCTTATAGGATACAAATGGAATTAATAATGCACTAAATAAAGTCAAAGACATGGCTGACAAATCTTTATCTCTTCAACCTGACGCTATAGAAGAAATGGAATTGCAATCTACCGAAAATTCTATCTGCAGTAAGTATAAAATTTTATTGATCTAGTACATTTTTATATTAGCAGTTTAATACATTGTGACGTTTCCTACTTTACTTTATGATTGATGAAAGGTTGTAGGAGAATTAGAATATTAATTGTATTTATTTGCTAATTATTACAATGTATAAAGGGGATCTTCAATTTAAATCGGTCAACTTGGTTTTCTACGATTACGACCATAAAGAATGCTACTTTTTTCGTACCGTGGATAATGCTATTTGAATTGCAAGTCAATACTTATGTATATGGAATCATATCGCCACTATAAAACCATTCTGGAATATCTTGCATATACAGATATATAGTATATAACCTATGTAACAAATGAGTTCATTATTATTATTTTTGCAGAGGATAACATGAATAATGAAAGCCAACCAATATTAAGTCCAACTGCAGTTTATGCTCGAATTGATTGCACGGATAGTCACAAACTACTGTTGATGAAGGCCAACTTTTTTGCAATGAATAACGAAGAAGTAGAAACTGGTACGTACCACCTAATATAGTATTTTAATGAATTTGTCATTGTTATGTATTAATTTTTTTAACAAAATTTCTACAATTTACACATTCCTTGATTTAGAAAGGAGATTCTAAATCTGTATTTGTTTATAGTATACCTTACTTGCGAAAGCATAATAATTGTGCTAAAATTGAAAAGTTTGTTATTGTCGAAGTGTTGAGTACATACCAGCGATAATGTCTCAATTCCATAATTTATATATAAAATAGTTGTGTTTAATTACGAGGCTTGGTAACTTTTGGTAATTCATTCTTTTTAATATTGCTAAAATTAATGAACTGCATCGGTGTACTCTGAATGAATTTAATTGAACCACTCAAATTTTACATATATATTGTACTTTCAGTTGGCGATTCCTTTACAAGAGGATCATTTAACAAAAGTCAATTTGATGAAATTAATGAGTTTATGCAGGAGGATAAAACAATGTCTGTGGAATATATTTCAACACTACGTTCGAATACGAATCTTCAAGAGCGTTATACTTCACTGTTACCATCGAAACAACAGTTAAAAGGTACATTAAAGCCTGGTTGAAGATGATATATTTGATTACTTTTACAAATCATAACTGTAAAGTATTGAGCATCCGGAAAAATCCAAATCTTTTATTATAAAGAAATATTATTTTGTTCAGGTGAAAAAATCAGTACCATCGAACTTTTGACAAAGAGCTCGACTAATATTTTGAAAGTATTACCAGTCCCAGTGGTAACTCCTGTGACAGTTGTCTTGAAGTTTCCATCTGAAATCATTCCATTACACAAAACCATTGCCAGTAAACTACAATTTCACTGTATCGCCGACTGTGGTAAGTATTCATGAAAATTTTCAATACTTTTTTTTGTTATATTAATACGTTGATTTAAAAAGCTATTATCCTAAAAGTTTATAACAAGGATAAGTTTACTTTCTTTTCCGTGTAATCTTACAGTATGTTAAAACATTAACACAATTCAGAATCCTTATTACTCATTCCTAACTCTTGAGGATAATACGATGATTTGCAATTTTTAAAAGTACAACTCTTGAAAAGAGTATAAAATTATTATTTCTTAGAAGTTTCTTTTTTATTTTGTAATTATATTTTATTTATATTCATGCGTAGAAAAAAAGAAATGTGTACCAATGCCGTGTACAACGAGTTTTTCTTTGTAAGTTCAAAATGGAATACTGGTGACTTACTTGGTTTGCAACTACTCTAACACACAGATAATTCATTCAAATGTTTCTTTCGCGAGGAGTGATTATCGACAAAGGGGATAGTTTTGCTTGTCGTGTAGTCTTAGTTCGGAGTTCTAGCTTGTCTTGTTGTAGCGGAATATTGAATATTGATATAAACCATTTTTACAATGACGCGTTTGTAGAACAAAATATCGATATTTAACTACTACAAGAATTTTACTTTATATTCCTTTTAAATTATGTGTCATTGTGTCTCTATTTATGTATTGTGACTTATATACCGACCGACCCTCCAAGATCCCAGGTCAGCTACAAAAATTCCATCAGCCTTCCAATCTGCTAAAACAAAACCAATATGGCGTCAGGTATGGCTTCCTAATACCACTGATGTCCCCCATGTCTCTCCCCATGCCGATTTCCTGGTACCAGATGCTCAGTCTCAGTTTTTTGATAAAGGTAGAGAGAAACGTGGGGGCAATCCCTACGTTATCCGCCAATACGGAGATTGTCATAAACGACGGCGAATGAAAAAGAGGATATCTCAGGTAAACATGCGGTATTTACCAATCCGGCAGTCCTGGTCTTCGGAGATATAAATGTGTGCAAGCCCTCGGGAATTTAGTCTTGTTAATTTGAATTCCGAAGTTTTGCTGCACACAAAAAATAAACCGTAAACCTTGTGTTTTCGTTGCAATATCTCAAACGCTTCAATGACAGGTGCCACATAATAAACGGTGCATTCCCTTAAATAAATTGTCTTTAAACCCACTCTTTATGTTTAAGTCTTTTTAGATACGAATTACTTTAATTCTTTACTAAATTTCGCATGGTATACTTGCAATAAATCTGTCACTTGTACTCCATATCCTCGTATTATGCAGTGATTTAATTTTATGCTATATCTGAAATGGAATTGACCTCGTGGTTCGGTGATAATCTTCTATACGATCCTGCATGTAAATAAAGCCTGGCGCGGGAAGGAGCCTTTACATAATAGATGACAATGATTTCATGATTTCAAAATAGAACAAATGACTAACAATAAAATCGATTGTATCGGGAAATGGTATATAAGCTATCAATCTCAAGAATTTGAAAGCTCAAGTTGCAATAATTATTCTCAATTCAATACGTAATATGAAATATCGTAAATACATATACGTGCATTTTTAGATACTAATGTGACAGACGGAGTAACCACATCAATCTATTTATTTCTGGCATTTGATTTTGTAGGTATACAAATGGGACGCATGTTTAAACCGCGATGGGGTCCTGGTTTGCAATTGATTACTTTAAATACACAAAAGGAATGTGATAGAGCGGAAAGACATGCACCATTGAAACAGCTTGAATCTTATGTATCGGGTCGCTCTGTGGATGACATGACATCAAGTATTGTCCAACGCTTGAAAATTTTAGGTGGCTGTGAGAATGATAATGACTATGTCCAAATGTTCAAGGTAATGTAGCAGATTTACTTTTTAAGGGGAGCTCAATTTAAAATTCATAATTCAAAATTACTGTGAGATACCGAAGCTGCGACTTTCCGCTTGGAGCAATCTGAACCATTATCTGATTGTACGAGTCGCATGGGAGATTTAAAAATCGTATGACTTTTATCTGCACAGTCAATTTGGCGTATTTGCATCTTCGGCCGGATAAGGGTTAACAATAAAGAAAAATAATTATATAAAAAATTATTATATCATCGTACAATAGTGTATTACGTATCTGTAGAATAATATCATGAGTATCACTATAATTCTTAGGAGAGTATAGAGGGGCATCTGCGTATCGAGCTAGATCATTGCATCATCGAACAAGAAGATGATTGTCTGACCGTGAGTACCGGAGAAAGTCTTGATGCTCTACATGCTCATTGTGCGTTGGCACAAGAACTCGCCAATCGATCAAAACCAGATCGTTTAGCTCTGTATACGCGGGACGTGTGGGATCTTTGCGTTGCTCTTTGGGGAGATCTTCCCGATTTAAAGCCACAGGAAGGTAAATATATTTTATTTATCATAGTCTGTACACGATTCGATATGGTTTTTTAAAATTACGCAGGCAGCGCAGTCTTAACAAAATGACACGTAGTTTTCCATAAAATAACATGGTAAAATAGAAAAGTAAAACGTATATGTATATTGGAAAACCATGCATTTGCATACTTTATAACAAACATTTTATGCGAAAGACTGAATAATGACCTTAGAATTCAAGAAATATTTATGAAAATAGAAATTTATTTAATACATTTTCTTTATTTTTTCAATTTAGTTTTCTTCAAGATATGTGTTTTTAATTATCCCCTCACAGATAAGGCGGACTACCACAATTCGATGGTACGACGAGAAGCCTTGAGCGAGTGGTTCAAGAACGTAATTGACAGTAGTGTGCAGGATGCTATTGCAAATACTACAAACAATGATCGCATATTGTTACTTTTACTCTCTGGTACGTATGTTTTCTGTAAACAATGCTTTTAAGAGGTGGTACGTTTTGTCATAATCAACTTATTATAATTTTATATCAAGAAACATTTCTTGCAATGTGGCCAATGGTTTTATATCTTTTTAACAAAAGTTTTGAGACTATTTTTATGAATTAGTGGAGTTAGTTGAAACCTAGGTTTGCGTGATATCGTAGTCATCAAAATCGGTTGAACCGTTTTCGAGTTTATTGCGCACTTGCAGTGTTAGTAATACACGTAAATTTCCTTTTATAAGATGTAAAAATAATATTATAGATGTTAAGATAACAATCACAATTCAGTTATTTAATGCCAAAGCCACTTTTACTCAACATATCCATCGAATGTAATTTTTTTAAATTCAACCTTTTCTTTCCGACACCAGTGGTTAAAAGATTTCTTCTATTTCTTCAAATTTATTTGCTTACTAATGTGTTCTCTTATAAATTAATCTATATAAACCAATATTGAAATTCTTTACATTTAATTAGATGCTTTTACGTCAATTTGAGTATTACGTAAGATAAAGAAAAACTTCTAGTTTTCATTGTTTAGATTTGAAGTTTATCTTTGGACACTGAAAGTCGTATGTGAACCTGCAATCGAATTAAAAAAGTGTTGGGACTCACTCCGGATACTAATATAACGTTTTTCTTGCAAAGCCAATTTTTCCTTTTTGTCTGTAATTTTGTGAAATATAAGTATACAAAGTACGAATGAGAAACACTATAATGGCAGTTATGACAACCCAACAATTGCCCGTATCACTGAGTTGCCACATATTCTTAAATCACTAATCAACACGGGTTATAATTCGCTTTTCCAAAACTATATCAGTAAATTTAACCTATGTTATATCCTTATGACGATAAATGAATGCCGCAGAATTAAAAAGTAGACTTTTCAAAATAATTTTAACAAAAATCGCTAAAATCAGCATGATTTTAAAATTTTCACCTGAAATATCTAGTAATTTTAAAGCATTATTCGAACAATCTGTTTTTCATTATGACCATTGCTTCATATTGGTTTGTATTGAGTTGAAAATGTGTTATATATTATCTCTTCTTTTTCTTTATAATAATAACCCTTTTAATATTACAGCCAACGAATTGGAAGAGGCATGTAAGCTGGCACAAAAAGCAGGTGATTATTGCTTAGCGTTGATAATAGCTCAACTAGGCGGCTCCTCAGGCCCAAAGGAATTAATAAAACAGCAGATCGCATTGTGGCAAGATAGTGAAGTTGATGCACATATTGGAATTGATCGTTTAAAACTGTTCATGCTCGCGGCGGGCATACCACTTATATTTAGCAAACAAGGAGTCATCAATATTTGTGAAGACTTCGACTGGAAGAGTGTTTTAGCTTTACATCTATGGTGAGTGATTTCAATTTTACTTAATTTTTCCTGTAAATTTTTAACTCATTGGTTCAGAATATCGGATTTCTCATACTTTAGTTATAATCCGTTTTGGGATTTACATGATTTTGAATAATTTTTCATGGAATAGCACTTGAAGGTCCTTGTCCAAAGTTGAAGTAGCAATTTTCATCAATAAAAAAGAATGAAAACAAAGTTCCTATTGATTTTGATATAGCTCTTATTATTAGATGTTTGAAGCTGTCAGATCGTATTGTTCTAAAGGTGTAAGTTCAATTCTTATTCAGTTATTATTTTCAATAAAGCGAATAAAGGTGCTTAAAAGATATCAGATATCAATAAGCGTAAATGTCCTGGAAATTGTAGAATTGTGTAATTACATGTACATGACGAATAATTTTTTATATTTTATAGGTACCTATCTCCTCCTATTTCATCGATTATGGATGCATTAGAACTTTATGAAACAGCATTTGACACAAGTTCTCCAGAACTTTGCGCATATGCACCAGAACCTCGCCCTGAATATAAACTTGAACACGAAGACGATTACGAAACGGAAGTGACAAGTGGGAAAAAAGTTTATGATCTCCGATATCATCTTTTGAAACTTTATTGTACTGGAAATCATTCGTTAGAAGAGCTCCTCAATCCAGCAACACACTCCGTTGACCCACTTGATTATAGACTAAGGTATGGATGCAAGTTTTTTGTATTGTTTTAAAAAATGTATTAATTTTACCAACAATGTATTTTATTCTCCGCATGTTGTTCTTATTGTGTAATCCATCCATTATTTTTTATTAGTTGGTTGGTACAACAAGTTCTTTTATCGCTGGGATATTCTCACATTTCGGCACATGCAAATGCATTAACTCATATAAATTTTGCTGCACAACTGGAATCCTATGATTTATGGCATTGGGCTATTTTCGTGGTTTTACACTTGAAAGATACCACAAAACGGCGGCTTGCCATAATTGATTTGTTGTCACGACACGTACAATTAGATGACGATCCGGAGTACGTCAAACGAGAAGAATTCTTGCGAGAAGAACTGGGTATACCATCGATCTGGATCAATAAAGCCAAATCTATAAAAAGTTGTATTGTAAAACGGTAACTATGATATAATTATTATATTTTTTATGCAAGCATTTACTCTCTCAGCTCTTTCCATTTATCTCTTACTCTTCTTATAACCTTAGTTTATATTCTGTGCAGGTATGGAGAAGCAGCTTGGTACCTTATACAAGCAGAGCAATGGAATGAGGCGCATGAGGTTATCATACAGCACTTAGCAGCTGATGCAATAATTAATGGTAAGTGCTAAATTAACTGACTGTGAATTTTAAAAGAGAGTTTTTCCTAAGCGGAATTGTAGGATTGACGATCAATTTGATACCACTTTTGTAACTGAAGGGAACATCCAATCAGAAAATTCAAAATTTTACACTTGACACAGATGTCAATTTGTGGGTCGTATGTCTCCAGGTTTGGCTTAATCTTGCAATAATGATAACACAATGATCGTGAACATTATAAAATGTATTACCAACATTGTTTAGAAGAAAAATTCCTTGTCATCCATTTACGACCTTATTTTTCATTTTATTTGACTTGTCTTTGATTGTTCAAATATTTTGCAAAGTGTTTATGTAAGCAGTCTTATCAATATGATTGAATGGTGTATATATATTAACAAAATTTGTGTAAACTTTTGTAACACAATCGTAAATCACTAACTGAGATTGGTTTGAATTCTAGTAAGTATGTATATATGTTTCAGAAAACTACGAATATCTTAAGTCACTGTTGACTCCACTAGCGCAAACTGAATGTACTAACACAATCAGTGGATGGGCACACCAGGGCCAGTTACTATGGGATTATATGTTAATTACAGAAGAAATGGAAACTCTTGTTCGCAGCTCTGACCGTTATGGAATCGGATACAAGTTAGAACTACTACGTCCACAGTTAACTAGTCTCTGCGATAAAATTAATCAATTTCCATGTTATTCTTCAAAGCACAGGTATGTTCCATATTATTTAATATTATCCATATGATATAGTCTCCTTTAAATTTCTGTTAACGATCATTTTAATTTGTACTCGACTATATTGATTAAATATGAATTTTACGGCAATCCGTAATCAACAATTCTGAAATTACTCCTTGTGAAATATTTTTATTCGTTCGGAGAGCAATAATTTTGTTCCCGTTTATCGGAATGAGACGAGTAGGATTGATTATAAATACTGTAATGATACTACAGTATTTATATATAATATGAAAGAAATCTTTAAATATTCCATTTAGAATTCTATATAGTATAAACAAATTTGAATACCCTCCTTATCTGTGATTTTAGGTATTAATCAAAATTCATGAAAATTTAATTAATGATCTCGAACTGCAGTATTGAAATATATATTCTCTACTGACTGTATGTAAATTGATTACAGATTATGCCAAGCGGAAATTGCGAAAAGAACTTCACATCTCGCAAGAAGTTTATTATTACTGGAATCAAAGGGATGCACATCAATGGTGAAAGTATTGTCGCATTTGGTTTCTGTTCTACCACTACCCGAAGATTATGCTCAGCAAGAATTACGTTGCATTACAAATATGTGTATTAACGAAGTAGCCACGCACTGAAAAGTATAGGACAGCAGATTGTAATTCATAGCTCCTGTGCCTTTTCATGAAACGCAAATCAGTGTTTAATAAAATAGAAGCCAAAATTATTAACTGATCCCGATATAAAGTACCATTAAGTTTTCTCTTCTTCCCAAAAAAGTAAAGAATGAAATATACAATTCTAGACATAATTTGATTAAGAATTTATGTAAAGTAAAATTAATCGACGATACTTATTAATGTATTACTGTCACTTCTTATATGTAATTGTGTAAAATTAATGTAAAAACTGATTAAATGGGCAAGAAGTATTTTCAGTTCATTTAACCAATCTTTATACTTATTACGTGACATTTTTATTATAATCTATTTGATCTATTGTATCTGTTTTTCTATTCGTGGGACAACTTCCACAGAAACAATAAAAAGCAGACTTGCCCCTGGCAAGTCTATCGGTCTTGCCCTAATTAGTTGACTAATAGCTTCACGAACCTCGCTTAACTCCTTCACTAGCAGCGGCGCACATATGCGTCGTGCGCTAACTGTACATACCTGCCGTTTCTGACCCCTCACTCGAAATAAATGTTCACAACGTTCTATGTTCTAAATCGGAAAGATTCAGCCAACGTGCTGTATGAACTCCTGACGCCAATCCTAAAGTCCCCTTCAGGCTCCTACATGAGATTGGCTGATGACAATTCATTTTTCACAAATTAACTTTGAGATACACGAACGCACGTCAGACAGTAATTCAGTGAATTTAAAGGCAGTACAAAATAAAAACTAAAAAAGAAACGTGAAAGTCAAAATTAAATTAAATGATATTAAGCACAATATATCAAATCGCAAGTATATCAAGAATTACCGAAATTTGTATCACATTATACAGCATAAACATTTTTTTATCTATTTATAAATGAAGCAATCATTTCACACCACATCTAAAAATCAATTTCGAAATACCACTAGTAGAAATTTTATTATGAAAGTCGAGGGTCTGTCGATTTCCTAGTAAAGCCCTGGAATTATACGGAAGAGGATTCTTAATAGGATTGAATTACGTATATTTTTTGAAGTTTTATAACGTTTTGGATTTTCATCACATTAATAAATCCATTGTATTGCGTTCCCGTAACAAATTTTTAATTTTAATAAATTTTTTACATATAAAATATCAAGATATTACAATATTTCGAATACAAGTAAAATTTAAAAAATCAAATCTAAAAAACATATTTTGTTGCTTTTTACTGTTAATTCTATTATTAAAAATTACCTATTTCGAATTGAAAACATGAAAAAATATTGAAAATATTATAAATTTTCAATTCTTATAACGCCAATAACAAATACTACATTACAGACATTCTCCATATATACATACATATACATATATTTATATATTATATAAATATAAGTGCTTACTGCAAATTTATGCAATGGTACACGGGATTCATCTAAACAAATGTGTATAGGCCACCTCGAAACTGACAGCTGCTGGTTGTACGGGTCCAAATTCACATTAACTTCCTAAATTCTACAATTTGATCGGAAGAGTTTTTTCTTATTACTCGATGTCAAATTCTTTATTCAGCGTTCGTAGATCTCTGAAAAAAATAAAATTGAGAAATAAGGGTTTCAATATTTTCAAATTAAATTATTTACGGAAATTACATCGCCATTCGATCGAGCCTTATAAGTATGAGGTCATCCCATAAGTAATGCAGTTTCTTCCAATGGTGCACAAATATCTGAAAATCACATTACTTATAGGATGACCCGATACTATGGCTTTTGATGTTATATTATAAACTTGATTACAAAACTCACATCATAAGCTTAGACAAATATAAAAATAAAAGCACGTATAAAAAGCTATTAGTCGAGCGTACAAAGTTCTTTGCAATTTAAATATTTTTATTCATTTTTCTGTATTCTCTTTTGAGTACAGTCGCGTACCATCCAGCGAGTATCTAACATTTTCGACATCTACACAAAAAGGTATGAATGAGAATGGAAATGATTTCCGGTATTCGGAATAAAAGCATGGAATTTTTTAAGATAGAAACGACTGAACCTCGCAGTATGTATCAACTGATGCACTTAAAATCCAGTAAGAAATCAACTCCGTGTCAATTATAATTATAACATAACTGAAAAGTTAAACGTGGCTATTGAAGATCCGTAAGGGGTTTGGCTACTGGGAAATAGCAAAGCATTTATTTTCAACATACCTCTGTTCTATAGCTTCATTCAGGTGATACTTATGCATCAAAGAAATAACTAGCCTAAGTGTGGACCATATTGTATCTGACATGGTCATGGGTGTTCCATTTCTGCCATATGCATCATGACTTGCAGCTTGTTGATTGAGTGCAGTAAGCAGATGTTCGCCAGCTTCTCTAAAATATGAATAACAAAATAACCGTCTATTAACATGAACTTTAACGACTAAGGCAGGACTTTATTTTTGGGGCAAATATAGAGATATCAATGAAGAATTCAGTTAACATCATTTGATATAATTCATACTGCGCATCGGAAATACTTTTGTAGAATTTATCATTCATTTCTCAATTATTTTATATAATGATTTATGTAATTTTATTTTTTATGTGGTTTCCAAGATTTCATCCGTCGATTCATATTATGGGCCCAACGGTGTAACTGTCGTATGGATGAAATCTTTGTAAACTTTGTTTGAACAGATGATAATTTCCTATTTCAATCTTTTCCCGACCTCCAGTAATCTATAGCTCTTTTTCTTATAGTCGTAATCTAATTCATTTATGTCTTCTGTACATACATCTGGATTTAGTTCGGGTTGCAGTTAGTATCGGGTTGTAAGTACCATTCCTCTCAACTGTTATCTTCTACGATTTATACTTCGTGAATTTCGTACGGTAATAGAAAATCAAACCTCTTTTGAAATTCTGTTTCCTGCGGTTAACGCATATCTTCTATGATCAGTTTCCGAGTTCAATGATTGACGTTTGAGACAAATTCATAACATTTATTATTGTAGATAGAGGTTGAATAACGTTCACGGGGTTTATGCACATTTTTCTTGGATTGTACGCAAAATTCAACACGCGTGCGTAACTTCTCTGTCGAATACTCGGCAAGCGAGAGTAACGTATTTATACGTACAACTGTAAGAATTATCAGCGCACTTGGCAGAATGAGAGAGGAAAACAACTCATAATCAAATAAAATAGTATACAAAAAGAAATAAGGTACCAAAATTTGTCTGTAACTACCACAAATTATCATTTGTAACGTTGCATTTGCCATTTTGCGTGTTGTACACGTAGAATATTAGTATGCGCAGTCGATTTATATATTTGGTAGCGATTATCACTATCTTTATTTGTGTCTTGGTTTTCGTTGATTGAGCTGACAAATATGATGCATATAGGTATCTGACTCCATAAACTGATAAAACTTTTATTTTTAAATAGACAAAGTGCCAGATATATCTTTCGTTCGCTCTCGTTGTCAATATTTGCGTAGCTTGTAAAAAATAAAGTTTTTTGGTGCTTGAATTCTTTTCTATCATCATGTCCTGTTCATAAGTATTGACTAAGAATAAAAAGAGGGAGAACTTTCTTGTAGATATATAATTACAAATTCATCGTTGAAAGAAACAATGTGTAAATTGCATTCATTCAAGTATTTTTACCATAAATGTAACGCGAAGAAATAAGAATATTTTTGTCATTGATACTTTTTTCTATCTCGCCCCTGTGAGGAGTTGTAGTCAAAAACATAAAACAAAGAATATTATTGGAAACTTTTCCTCATCTGAGGATGAATTCTTTTTTCGAAATGTTCAATAATGTTCGATTGTATAGAAGAACATGAAATAATCCAGATATCATACAATAGATTACACTTCGATGCACCAATACTAGCAAAAAAGTTAAAGGTGATTTTCACCCAATAAATGTGAGGTATATGTGAGGCGATATCGATGAAACCAAAAAAACATGTAATGACTACTTTTCCATCTTCGAAACTTTGCGCGGTTTCCTTTAAGTATATTGAAAAAATTATTTTGACAAAAAAACTTACTTATACGCTCCCAAGTTAATGCAAGAAATACCAAGATTGTAGCGAGCTCTAATAAAACCTGGAGAAAGTTTCAAAGCTTCGTGATATGCATCCACAGCTTCTTCAGAACTTTGGCCATTAGCAAGTGTAGCACCAAGTCTATTCCACAGTCTTGAATCCTATAACACAAACAAACCAGTTGATATAAATGAGAACTTATGTGACGTATATTTGTAAAAACATGATCGGTATATGCCAAGAGTATACCACATAGGGGGATGAATTTGAGCAATATAGAAAACAAGGAATGATCATTAGTTTATTACTGTTTTCACCACCAAAATTCTCTCATAAGATACTGAAAATCAGAGTAGATAACGAGAGCATGCTATACGTTATTATTTCACATGCAAGTGTTATATCCCAAAACGGATCTACTTAATTAAATGCAATCCTGCCAATTCTTTTCGGCACATCGAACTTTGTGATTGCCTCATGTAAATCTTAAAACGCTGAGTAGCAGGCCATGCGCTCACACCACATGCCAGCGCGAGGTATGAAGCAAAACTCTTCCTTCTGCAAGTTCATCAATATTGCGGTGCATTGTCCCCAAAATCGAAGCTAATGCACCTTTGGCACCTACGGTATTCAGAACCGATCATTAGTCTTTCGTGAATCTTGGCAACAGACGGAACTCCTCTAAGAGTCACCGTCTAAATCATCGAGTCTTGCTTGTTCCTCCGCTAGTAGTATTTTACGTGTCTTCGGATCCTTGTGACCAAGCCTGCCTACCCGAGGGCCAGGAAAGTCATCGCGGTGAGCGTTCTTATCAATCTATCGCGAATGTAACAACAGACGACGGATTGGAACAAAAAGAACTCAGTGAAGTGCAATACCAACTCTTTCATCCTTGTCAACAATTGTAAGTCAACTTATCTTACCTATAATAAATAATCAATATGTATACCTACACGTCGCCCTCATTCGTCAGCATTACACTCACCAATTCCACGGGAAACAGATATGGATAGCGTTTTAATGGTAGACCACGTTAAAATATATCTACGCCCTAGCAGTTTTCCTAGCAGTTTCACAAAATTGTTTAATCGTACAATATTGTAGAAGTGTGGAGCAATCAGTTTGCAAAGTTTTGAAACTATCCAATAATTTTGTTAAATACTATTAAATAAAAAACTACGTGTACTCACATCAGGAATAACTTGCAATGCAGTACGAAAACAATCAGCAGCTTTGTCATATTCACTGGAGAGATTGAAGAGAACGCCAAGTCCACACTGAACATCAGGGTCAATTGTTTCATGAGGATTCATTCTTGCAGCTTCAATGAAAAGCTCACGCACTTCATTATGGATATCACTGTAATACAAACGATATCAATTTTTAGAAATCGTACTAAGGGCTGATTATTTCATAATGTTTTAAGGAGAAATTGACTGCCCACCAGACAACACTGAAACGATGCATCCACGTATTATGGCAAATCGTGGAAATTAGCGTAACGCAGCTAATAATGATTGCTGCATGCAGTAGCGAATTCTGAGACTCATGCATAACGTCGTGCCAGAAAGATGCTCAAAAATACATATAAACGAGCAGCACAACTCAAAAAATAAACTTATCATCTAATACTTTCGATAGCGATATGCAACTCTTGTCATATGTGCTATTACGTACGCCGTGAGGGCTAGCGAGCTCTTTAAATTTGTTCATAGAAATTTAAAAGTAACTAAGAAAAAGGAACGACGATTAGGTGACTTGAATGAAAATGATTAAACTCCGAGTAGCAATAATGGGCTCAGTTATGGGTTCGCCACTCGTATAGGGTGTTATCCTTGTTATTGCAAAAAGGAATAATGAGGTTAAATTTTGAAATGGATATTTTGTTGAATTTAAATAAATATACTTAGATTCGTGTGCCAGTTATTGATATTCTAAGTAAACCGTCTCATTCTAAAGGTGTAAATTCAGAGGGACAGAAAGGGAGGGTATTAGTGTCCCTGTTTCTGACCAGGCTAACGCTGTTCCAGGCAACTTCTGTAGTCGATTTTTAAAGGCGGTTTAGGTGCTCAAGGACAACAACGGGGAAGTTGAACCAAAGTGCAAAGTCCTTAGTCCTAAATTATTTATCCTGCATGAATATTTTGAAACCAAAGTATGTTAATTTATAATTTGATACATACTGAAATAAAACGGTGGAGACTCCAGATTCCGTATATCGAGCGCCTTGTATCCTATTTTGCACAAGATGTTTGTATTTCTCGTTTTTTAATAACCATTCTTTGAGCGTAAGACAAGCCTGATTCTGATAAGATTCATTGGTATAGGATACTGCCAAAGCCATAAGAGCCGTAGAGTTTGATGGGTCAAGTGTAAGGCATTCCTTTAGTGCTGATATGGCCAAAGGATCTTGTTCATTTTCTGCCTGGGTCTTTCCAAGTAATAACCAAGCATTAGCATTTTTCGGCTCTTGTTGCACTGCGACTTCAAAGCACAACACTGCACTCGGTAAATCTCCAGCTTCAAGCCTTCGTTTGCCTTCTTCTAACGGTTCTGATATATCTTTCATTGGATTTTCATTATGGAAAGTGTACTCTTTAAACGGATCATAGTACTTTGCATATTCTGAAATCCAAGGATGTGGCGCTGAAACTTCTTCTGATGCTGTCACTTTTTCCCATTCCTCTTGCAGACGATTCCAAAAAGTTGCTTCATAATTATCGCCATCTGTAGATTTTAAACATACATTGAATTACTTGAATGTTACACACAACATAAATATCCGACGTATGAAATTATCAATTATCTATAGAATTAAATTAAATTTTCTATACAGAGTATTTTCACGCTATTGTAATAGACGGAGTGTTCGACAGAGAACGACGTATAAAACGAAAACGCACGACCTATGACGCATTCTAACGCCAACGTTTTTTCATTCATAGCGATTCTGTAACCGTGATAATCTTACAGATTTCTATCTTACATCTTTCCAAATAAGAGTAATTAGTTGGTGGCACAGCGTCCACTAAGCTATATTTCGTTTCTCTCAGGCATGTTCTCCTTAAAACTAAAATTATAATTAAAATTTAAATCTATAATGCCGTTTGTCGGCATGGCGACCGAATAGTGGGTATTATTAGTCAAACTATCTTTGGTAAAACAAACCGGCGAGGCTTTTGTACTCAATGTGTGAGATAGTGCAATAGGCCAAAAGCAGTAGACAAGGTCAAAAGTGAATCAAAAGAAGCCAGCTATAGAAGCCAGCTTTATAGAAGAGGGATTAAAGATGAACAATCCAATAAACAACTGTAGGACAGAGCAGCAACGCATGACCGATATCAGAAGTAAGGCGACACTTCCGCTGACGTCTACAACTCCAATAGATGGAATGCGTAACAGTGCGTTCCTATAAATTAGATAACCTGCTTATATATCAGCAAACACTTTGAAAAATTGTAAACTAAAACCTGCCATTGCTACCATGTTACCACATGCAATGTAATGTACCTAACAGCAACCTCATGCGAGGACATGAGAATTCGCCTTCAGTAGAATCCAATATTGACCTTTATATGTCCCAGTCGTCACTGGGACTAGTAGGAAAGTATCTACGTTTCATGGAAAACTTTCTTAAGACAACGAAGCCACTAATACAATTACCTAAGAAAAAAATTACGGCTTTAGACTTCATTGGAACGAGAAGCTTTCTAGAATTTAAAAGAAACTAATGATTGCACCACTGCTGAAACATTCAGATTTTAATCAAGCGTCCGTAATAGCCTGGGAATGCACGCACGATTTTATTGTCCATTTAAAAATCAATGAGTTGGGATAACGTGATAACCCCATGCAAGTGATGCCTAGTTAGCCACAGATACCTCAGACTAGTAATTGTATGGTCTGTAAGCCATTACATGGTTTGTATTTGGTGGTTTGGTGCGTATTTGCATAGTACACAGTTCAAAATAGTCATGACCCATAAATAATTAACATGGTTCTTCGGTGTGTAGGATACAAGCTCAAGATTGATTAGATGGTAACTGAAACTAGAGGAATAAGATTACGAAACCGAAATATTTAAATGTTATATCTGGTGGAAGTGATAAAATAATATTCTCTTCTTCAACTTTAAACTCATTATTATTAAACTTATAATTCTTATAATAGTATATTAATTTGTAAATTAAACAAATAACAAATACATTAATTGTAATAATTTTTCAGAATGAAATATTTCTTTACTTCATAAAAATTCATTTACCATTCTAAAAACTCTCCTTACTTTCCTTTCCAAGATGCTCCGCGTCTTATTAATAGTGATTTAATTGCACAACTGTCAAAGATCCGGCATTCATATTTTTTGAATAACACAATAACACCTTATAAACTATGTATACTTAGATACTGTTTTGTACTTCAAATTTTTTATAAAAAATTCAGGCACTGTCATGGGCTCTAAGTTACACTATTACATATCTTGAGAATTCTTATTTCGTATAGTATATTTTCGGTATTGAAACTCGAGGACTTTCACGTAGGAAGATACTTCTTTCTTGTGATCAGAGTATGATTGTGGTAATTGACTAAAGGGGTGAGCTCCAAATCTGACTGTTACATATCATCAAAGCTCATAATTAGCTCTTGAATCATGTTACTTTTTTAAATTTGTTGTTCTACTGGTTCTAATTATATTGACGTAGGAAGTATGTTAAATTTCTCATTAATCTACAGTATTGTCTTTATCTTCACGTTACACAAACTTCTGCATACGATGTTGACATCTTCTTTCTCTTCGTTCTTTCTTGGATTTATCCCTCATAACCTAGTTAGATACCAGATGTTCGTTTTAATGGCTGCAATTAGGATAATACCTTCTCTTTGTTCATTAGATATTGTTATCGTGAATACCAGTACAGTTAGAGAAGTTAGACCTATATAATTCACTATTAGATTTATGCGTGCTCTTCTATCATGGGGTTCTTGTATTATTGGAAAGAATGCATTGCATAACTTATTATAACTGTGGAGTTCATTCCTATTTTTTTTAGAGTCTAATTAAATTTCGTTTCCCTTCAAATCTATTTACTTTTCACTCTTTGTTAATTCGACTACAGACTTGTAATTTTGATGAAGAAATACAGCCTCTTCGATGAAGTCGGCAATGTCATTTCTTATTGTTTTTTTAGATTTCTAATTAGAAACACCTTTTTCTTTTTAAATTACCACTTATAGCGCTATTAAATAATACGAATTGGTGTTAGTCATTGATAACGTTTAGTCATTCTAGAACGAATCCAATCACGAAACAATTTTCATACGTGTATCTCATGTCATGTAACCATCGCTATAAAATCGTCTCCAATGTAGGTTCAACGATTTTTCTATATCTCATTTTGCAGTTGTTGATATATGACGATATCATATAACGCGAAACTCAATAATATAATACATACAAAGAATTTAACGTACTTGATACAAATTTTAGTGTATGTAATTCAAGCTCAATCGAAACCTGGTGATGTAGAATTTAGTAAATAAGCTATGCTTCATTTATCAAACTTCAATACGGATGTCATGGACCAATTATTCATAGATTCCACTTTGATAGTAATTATTAAGCAATAATTAGATATACAAGACTGCACATTACAAGCAATATTGGTATAATTTTTAGTACAAATTATGCTCAAAATTAGTTTAATATGACATATACATATAGTCGATCCACGAAAACATTGTGTTTTTCCTTACAGTTAGCTAACAAAGCAATACTTAGCAAATAATCGGCAGCTTTCGATAAAATTATGGAAATAGATAGTAAATTAGACAAATAATAGTACATTATGCAACAAGGGAGTAAAGTCGTTGATTATTCCCGCGGGTGAGAGTGTACTGCCCGAGCGAAGCGAGGGCAGTAAATCACCCGAGGAAATAACCGACTTTACTCTCGTGTTACATATAGTGCTTTATTCACGACTGAGCTATAATAGCCGCTTTATTCCCTGAAAAGTGGAACCAAATCAGCCACCGTCATTATGATGGAAATATACGTTATTTCAAATATTCAAAAACTTCAAAATTTTTAAATTTTTCACCTTTTCAAAACTTTCAAAAATTTTCAAAATTAAAAAAAAATTCAAAATTTTGCGGGAATAAAGTTCATTATTCCCGCGAAATGCGGGAATAAGTAAATTTGCGGGCAAACCAAATATGCGGGAATAAATTGCTACTTTACTCCTGCTTTTCAGGGAATAAAGTGGCTATTATAGCTCAGTTGTGAATAAAATGTATTTTAATACAAAATCATGCACATCCATACTTATATGCTCAGCCACGCGTGGTTTACTAGAGACTTTATTGTTTTCGATCTGTCAAAAAAAACACATTAAACTCGTGGATGACTCTTAATGTGTACGATTAGCAGTGACCATCCTTTTATATTTTTCACTGCAAGAATTCCCTAGGCCTCACATTCTGCTTGTGAATCGATTATAGTTTTACAACTGATTGAATTAGTAACAGAATCTTCATTCCGGGGCATAGAGATTGGCACGTTATTTATTTTACTTTATTCAATTTACATATTCTTATATATAATTATAAATACTTATATACATAAAAATATGTAAATTGTTAAGAAATTAATGTTCACGCTCCCAATATTTTCATACGTAATTTACACTTTTCTAGATACAACTTGTTAAAGAAACTGGCATCTAAATTCAATAAAATCCATCTTTTTAAATTATAAAGATTACAAAATATTTTCTGCAGATAATCTCTTTTTATTAACCCCCCCTCCCCAACATGTTATAAATTTATAAAATTTTGCTAGGACGATGTAACTACAAAAATAATACGAATAGCCCATTTTTGTGTTTCTATAATATCATTTCTCTTATATAAAAAAAAAACTAACCTTTAGTTTTAGAAGATTCTTTCGAAAACTCTTCAACCCACTTTCCAGCTACTGCCAATTCTTCTTCAACCTTATTAAGGACATCTTCCTTTGCGATAGATCTATCTTCGTTTTTCGTATCCTCCAAATACTCTTCACTCCATTTATCGTCAATTTGGCTTAAATCTTGACTGGATTCAATCGGGATATCGCCTTCCTGTTTCATAAATTTCATGAATTTTGAATAAGCGACATTTGCATCTTCGCTTGAAGAATTATCGAGCCTTTGTGGGAAACAAGTTTTATCGTCATCATTTTCCAAGTTGTCGACACTATGCTCTAAGTATTCCTCTGCCCATTTTGGTCCTAGCCCAAACTCGTGGGTTTCGTCAACAACTTGTCCTTGTGGAATAATTGAATCTACTTGAGAATTCCAAATATCATCTGCATGATTTTCCTATAAAGAAAAGAAAGTAGTTCATTATTTTTTACATTTAAAGCATAATACAGAATACATAAAACATGGAGCTCAAACATAGGCTCCAAAATAGGGAAATAATCTGTCATAAAAATTTTCAAAAAAAAAAAAGATTTCCATTATTTAAATTCTTCAAAAATAATAGGAAATCGCGTATTACTAAGATATGAAATATCACAAAAATTATAATGAGATACCATCTACAAAGTTACGACTTTAAATTTATGTTAGGCTAACCAATGTGATTTTAAACTTTTCTAATATACATATTTCGTCCACTACCGAGGCTAAATATGTTGCAACATATTTTAAATAAACAACTGTGCTAGAATAAATTCAATAAAAAATTTATAGTTAAATGACATGATAATATACGTTTTAATTTTATCGTAAAATCAGATACTGAATAATTCATTCATAAATCAAACAGCTTATTGGAAAACTATCTTTTCACTTTTGATTGCATCCTTACCAATTTAAGTTAAAAGAGGGTAAACTGACCATACACTTAGAGTTTAAGAACATACAATCCAACGTATTCCATACTGCCTTACCTAAATCTCTTTTCCAGAATCTCTGGTTATGTTTAGTACCCTCAACAGTAAAGTAATAGTCTCATTCTAAAACTACTTGGGATTATTATAAACTACTAAGATTATCTTATGACCCTCACAATATGTCAAAAGCTATGCCGTAACCACTCACTTTATAATTTCTTTATATGTCACACTTTCATAAGACGATAAGTCAGAATCACAACTGATTTGAAAATTGCTTCGATTTCTTAAAGAAAAATATATAACTCACAGATGTTGACTGACATTTAACATACTAAAAATGCAGCAATACATTCATTACTTCTTAACATCGTAACACATTATTTCCTGTAAAAACAACAGGAAAATAAAATGTTACTTATAATTAAAATATTACTGATTATGAATTTCACTTGATAATTTCGTTTTGTACTCTTGCGTGGATAATTAAAAATTTAAACGAACGAAGATAAAAGTAAAAAATTTTCAATAAAACAATCTTCATAAATGCAGTATTTTTGCCATTCATAATAAAACAAATTAAACTTCAATTAATTTTAGCTTTAATCAAACACACCAGATGCACTTTCCTACGGCCCCAACAAGTATTTAAACTGCAGTTTAATAAAATCGATATATTAAAAAATGATCCATTACAGAATCTATGAAACAAATTTTACAACACTGAATCACAATTGAGACAAATCACTCTTTCCATTTTCGAATGTTCAACATAAAATTGCAATTTCAAGAATTACTAGGCTTGCTATAATGCGTGCCTGATCTATGGATATGAAACTTTTGTTGCAAATTCAAGTGATTCGTGATTTTTACGATCTATAATGCAAATCGGTACTCAGGCCGCTTTAAAATTCTTTTGTCTACAAAAATCGATAACTAGCATAGGCTACCCATATTTATCACTTTTAATTCTCTATTTCATCAAATTGTATTTAATAACAATTGCGAAATGTGAAAGTGTTATGATTTTGTTTTTAAATTTAATAAATTATTGTTGATCTTCGCCAGTCATGAATTATATGACACTTACAAGGGGAGGGTCAGACGTTCCCCTCACCGATTTGGATGAAATTGTACATACGTGTAGTGCTTCATTAGTACCTCTTATGTACTAAGCCATAGGGCACGCTTCTCAAAAGTTTTCGAGAAAAAGCAACTTGAAAATTTGCGTGCAACAGTAGAGTCTTAAAGTATACAAGTATTCACAACCGAAAGCATGGTGTAGTGAGCAGCGCGTCAGCTTCATAACCGCGAAATCGCTGGTTCGAGTCACGTTGATGTATCGTTCTTTTTTTAATGGTTTATTTATTCAATATTAATATAATAATAGTATGTTTTATTTATATAATATTTATCACAAAGAAATTGATACAGGATACTAGTTATAAAAGGTGTAGTTAAAATGATGAATAAAGTAGTACGTATTGAAAAATGGAAAAATTTATTTTTTATTTTGCACATGTATGATTATCATCCTACGGCATGCAGTAATGTACTACCTTCTAACAATGAATAAGTGTAGTGAATATTGCGTGTATACATTTGCAAAATAAAAAATAAATTTTTCCATTTTTCAATACGTACTACTTTATTCATCATTTTAACTACACCTTTTATAACTAGTATCCTGTATCAATTTCTTTGTGATAAATATTATATAAATAAAACATACTATTATTATATTAATATTGAATAAATAAACCATTAAAAAAAAATGATACGTCAACGTAACTCGAACCAGCGATCTCGCGGTTATGAAGCTGACGCGCTGCTCACTACACCATGCTTTCGGTTGTGAATACTTGTATACTTTAAGACTCTACTGTTGTACGCAAATTTTCAAGTTGCTTTTTCTCGAAAACTTTTGAGAAACGTGCCCTATGGCTTAGTACATAAGAGGTACTAATGAAGCACTACACGTATGTATAATTTCAGCCAAATCGGTGAGGGTAACGTCTGACCCTCCCCTTGTTAGTCAAATAATACTCGTGCTAAGGTGGCGCGGACCTTCTATCATTTCCGATATTGTTAGATATTGCTTTTAAATAAAAACCATTATTTATAGCACATTTTGTAAAAAAAAAACATCTTTGAATGAACTCAATTTTTCAATAAGTGAATTTCAAAAAAATCAAAGACCTGAAAAAGACCAAAGTTTGGAAAAATCTTCCGGATTTCATAGATACCTCGAAAAGAAACGGTTATCGAATATTTTTATGTCAAAAAAAATTAAATTCATTCAACCAATCACGATTAAGGTATTTCTATACGATACCTTAATCCAGGAAATTATAGGAAAAATGCGACTAAGTACATTGGATAAATATCGCACTTCTCATCAAATAAAGTCGCATTTCCCATGTTTTCCCTTAATGTAAATGAATTGTATATTAGATATTACATCAAAGTGGCGTCCAGATTCCAAATACTGATTTGCCCAAGCAGTATCTAATCCAGTAATCTCTCTAATGACACCAGGTGCAGAAACTGGAGGATTCACAGTGTGTTCAATCTCACACATTCCCTGGAGAAGATTATCCATACGAAAAGTCTGGGGGTGTACAGCACTTTCTTCGAGAAACTGTTTCACTAGTTGTTCTGAATTGGTTGGTTCAAATTGTTCAGCATGTCCAAAAGTATGTTGAAAGCCTTCATCTTTGAAACCATGATCTTGTACAAAGTGTGTTGTGAGGCGTATCAATGAACTTGGCCCGCCACACTGGCCTTCAGTTAAATCTTGAAAGGCCATTTTTTTCCCAGAAACCTAAATGATAATACAACTTTATCGATCTAGAAGCAATGATTATTAATTATCATAATTCATTAATATGTTCACCATATAAATGGTTTTTGAACACACGCAAAACTAAAGATTACCCATTGCCATTTTTTAATGAGAACCTTAAGGCAATATTCAAAATCTACTCCATAATATTAATAATAAGTTATAATTGATTATTTTTGTACAGTAATCATTTGAACTGAATAGTTCACAGTTCCTTCAATCTCATTCAATTAAAACTAGCAATTTTTTAAATTTGTATCAACCTTCTATGTGTATCTAAGTAATATCTGTTACTCTTATATGAAGAATACAATAAAATTTAAATATGTATTAAAAAAATAAACAAGTTGCATAAACTTTTGAAAGTCAAGATATAATAAGCGATATACTTCATTTATGGGATTGATGGATAAATTGACAATATTTAAGAGTCATCTGAATGCATTTTGTGACACATACAGTCAAGCCACTCAATAGTTTACACCTCAATATTTTATCTCTCAATTCTTTTCAGATTTTACTGTTAACAATAAACAAACGTTTTTATCTATATAGTGCTAGTTCCAATGCAGTAACCAATGGGCGAAGAACAGTCTGCTGTTGTCACCAGCAAACATCTCATCCATCAGTCCCTTTTTGTTTCTCGCAGCAGTAAATAAAAACAAAGGGAACATTTGCTATTGAAAGATTTCAGTCTTGAATCCATTCAGTATTAATTGTAAGAGGCATAATTGTATTAAAAAATTACTTGATGCAAGAAAATTCACTTCTATTCTAATTTTGACGCATACATTTGCGATGAAATTTGTGAATGTCATGTCATAAAATATACATTTACATTATATCTATTTGAATCGTTAAAGATTTGATTGGTTCCTATTAGTTAAAATATAAATTTACTTGTTAACTCATGATAACATTAAGTTATAAAACAAAAAAGGAAATAGTCCTCCTAATCACTTTTTTTTGAGTTGTAAATGACAAATAAGCTTTGTTGAACTGGTAAAATTGTCGAAATACAATTTAATATTAATAAATTTAAAAAACATTTACATAAAATTAACTTGTTAAAATAATATGTTCTCCAATTTACCAAATATATAAATACTGTAAAATATTTACAACGAATATAAGTAAAAGGAATGATATTGCAACACCACAGATAAAAAGTACAGGTTATGTTACCTTACGTTAGGACGATAAAAGTTAAAGAAAATACTTAAACTACTCATCATGTTTCACGTGCATGTATAAATTTTCTTGCTTTAATTGAACAATGAACTTAAAATATTATACAACTACATCTATCATAAATTCATTAATATCCCTTACCCAAGTGATGAGTTTTTTTTTCTGCAGAAGAATGAGTGAAACTACGAAATTTTTATTTATACAAGACAATATAGCCAATATTTTAATCGTTCACTGTTTGTGTACAGCAACTTTGGAAAATTACAGTCTCAAGAATCCTTAGTAAGTTATTAATAGAATTGACATTGCATGTATCGTACTGAAATTGCAAAAGAAGAAAAAATTCAGCATAAAAATAAAATGATAATAGGGTTTTCCTTTTAGGCGAGTAGCGTCAACACAAGTTGACACAAAGCCTACCTATTCGTTGGCTCTAACAGAAACTTGCCAAAATTACCAATAACATAGCTTTGCGTTAAATAACGTCGATTCAACAAACCTAATTCGAAAAACCGTCTTTTTTACACTGTTCTTCTAGCTCTACTCATAGTACTCATTATAAAAATATTATCTAATAACAATAGCTTCAGTTATTTTTCAAAATCAGCTGTGATCTCAGCCGAACATAGTTGACTATTAATTCATTGGTTAATTCCGTTAGAACTTACCACACCATAGTTTTCTAGTTTAGTTTTTTTGCTAATTTAACTTTAAATGTCAAACTTGCATTTGTGAGTTTTCCATTTAGCTGCGTTTAATCGAGTGGAATTAAAATAAGATGACACCAAAATTTTTGATAGCGTCGTGAACGAAAAGTTTTCGATATGACCAAGAATCTAAAGGGGTGGTCGTGTGGCCCGTGGAGTGAAAATTTGAGAAGGAGAATTGCCATCAGCCAATCACATTTATGAATCTGAAGAAGACTAAATCTAGGATTGGTAGCTTTTGTTTATCGTATTTTTACATTTCCACGTAAGATACATGATCGTATTCCTGAGGTCTCGGCTAAATAGAAAAGCTATAAGTTCCAATAAAATACCGCTACGCGTCAGTGTCAGCTGCGGAGGTTTCGGAGTTTGATTGCATACATATCGCTACGAACAGGCCTTTCATATAGACGACCGTCACGGCCATGACTGTCGCCATGTTAGGTTGAAGTTCATTTCGTGTACGACAGAAAGAACACGCAAGGAAACAAGAACTGTCGTTTCGTTAAATGCTTCGTAAATAATAAAGTTCATGAGTAGTGAACCACAATGGAAGAGACGAAGATAATCTATCATATTGATGATGAAGAAACACCGTACCTTGTGAAACTTATGATTTCACCTGAACGAGTTACTCTGGCTGACTTCAAGAATGTGTTGAATCGGCCTAACTACAAGTATTTCTTCAAATCAATGGATGATGATTTCGGGTAAGTTTTAATATTTCTATATTTTGTATTTTGTCACCTTAAGATCATTATTAGGTCTTAATAGAGTTAATGGTTTCATGTGCGTAAAGATTTTATTTTCTAATCTACTTTGTGTTTTGACAATCCAATCTATCTGTCTCTTTTCAATCCTTTGATCTATTTTATCTCCGTAATATTTCTGTTTATATTGATTTACACATTGTTATTAATTAACATAGCTATTTATGTGCATTGTGTTTGAAAATGTGAGAATATTTGAATTCTTTATCTCACAATCATTGTTCCTTTTTGAATAATCCATTTGGCAGTAGTTGATTGTTTATAAATATTATATGTATATTTTTTGAGTAAGTATATTAAACAAGATATTTTGCCACAATATGGAGAATCGATGTGAATTATTTTTATAAATATTATATGTACAAAGACTATTCAACAAGTTCTTTTGACTTGGATTTACAAATATCAACTCTTTTATACAATTTATTAATGTCAGCTAATCAGTGAATACTTATTTTATACATTCTGTCAATTTCAATTGCAATCATATTGGTAAAAAAAAAAACTTCATCCATAATAGACATATGGCTTCCACAATAAGTCCTTTGAAAATATACAGACGAATTATTTTTTTACGTCTTCATGATAATAATTAAATTTTTCTTTTGAATCTATATAGGAAAATTACTGCACTTTCTTTTTTTATTATACAAATAATTATAAAATAAATTGTAAATATATATATTCTTCTAAACAAAAATTTAGTATAATTAGTTTTCTTAATTAAATATGTATATACATAGAATAATAACGGATGTTAGTTTTTTCTTATTATTATATTCATATATAATCATATAATCTGACATAGTATGAACAACAATGGTCTGTACTATACTTCATGGAATATAATGTTTTCATAGGCTGTACTGTGGAGCTGTTTTTGTTATATACTAGAATTATTAGTTTTTTTTAAACTAGTTATTGTTCATAAATGCTATTAATAATGAATACACCTGAAGTATTGCGGATAAGTTAGAAATGGTAGCACAAATGGTCCTCCCTTGATCTATAGCATTTCTTACTTTGGGATGCACCATTGCTCTATGAAATATCTGCACCTACATAATCAACAGTCCAAGATCGCGATTTACGCTTGTGAGTTGTAAAAGTAAAATTATTATTTAAATTTCATATTATGTAAATTCACGAAGCCTGCAATCAACGCTTCTGGAATCGAACGAAAAACGACTTACAAATTGTTTGCTATGGATACGCAATGTCGATTTTTTGTAGTCGAGAATTAGATATACATATCACAGTATCCAGTTTACAGCGTTACTGTACTATAATCACTCAATCTCAAGGATTAGTGAGATTTGTTTATATAAAGTTGATAAAGTGAAATAGATGTTGTCTGTTACCGAAGACGTCAAAGAGCAAGCCCGCTATTATTTGGAATATCTTTCGGTTTCTGTAGCGCTGTGGCATTACGATATGAAAATTAGAAAATGCTCGCTGCATCTAGTATGTGGTCAGAAATTGCAAGTTACAACTTTACTGGACAATTTCTGGTAATATATTAAGATACGAATGTAACGACGACTTACAAATCGAGTTGTGCGGTGCTGATATTTAACCTCTTTGAAATAGTAAAAGCCAGTGAAGAATAAAGAAAAAGACAAGAGTTGCACAGATGAACATGATCATGACATACAGTCGCACTCAAATTGAATGATAGTGCTTGAATCATAGTGCTTCGAATACATGCTGTTTTGTACATACATTCCAAAATGGTGTACTGATTTCTAGCTATCAACATTAGTAGCAGTGTAAAAACCAAGAGTAGCAAGAGGTTCAATGTTTTATGAACATTCTTTGTGTAAGGCAATAATCATATAAATCCATAAAGAGAAAAAGGAGCTATATGCGTAGTTTTTGTTGATTTGTCTTAAAGAAGAACTAAATGTAAACAGAGAGATCTCATTAGGTGTTACTACATTTTTTTCGATGATATGGGACTTTGCTAGCCACTGTATAGAAATGTGCATGTTCTGTCAGTGGTAAATTAGATTTAGCATATATTATATTTAGTTTCTAAGATGCCACGGCAAAAAGTTGTAGCTGCGTGTGAAAACTTCATATACAAATTAGGTGGCTTTCGCACCTTTCAATTTCTGCTTCTTTTAATTTGTTTTCAGCTTTTTATAACCTGTAGTGAACAAGCCTTTGTACAGAAGAATGACAAGATGCTAAAATTAACATGGTTTATATCAAGTGTTCAGATTCGTTTACACAGAGTAGCTTTATGCAATGATATATGCGCATTAAAACTATATTGCTAGTATGTATACGTAAGACATATTGCAAAGATTGCATTAGACTGATTAAAATGTTACATTGATACGTCTAGTGTAAACGCTGAACTTATCAATGATTGATGCGTACATTCGTATGAAGAAAATACTAGCGTTATGACGCAGATTTGTCGTTATAAGTACATTTGATTACAATACTTCTGTTTGACACATATCATATTCAACTCTAATACAATAATGTTTACATCTTGTTTTGCGTTTCTGTGATACATAGTGCTCTTTATCTATGTCAAATGCTTGTTGTAAAAAAGACTATTGCAATTTTCTCCATGTTATAGAAAGAGAGAAAAATCGAATAATCAAAATTATTGCCTCGCAGAGACAAACACAAAGTAGTACATATAAAAATTGTGTTTCAGGTAGACATATTTGTTTTTATTTTACTAATTCCGTATACTTCTAAGAAGATATGAAGTTCTTATTGAATCTAAAATCTAATACTTAAGAACTGTATTGTACCAGAAAACGGTGGTAAGTTAGTTTTAACTTTTTGTTTAGTACAACTCTACATTTATATCTGTAGAATGTACTACATATTATGTGCAGTTGTACAAAAAGTACAACTTTACTAGTTTCAAAATTGAAATTACTTCTTAGAGAAATCAGATACAAAATAATTATTCTAAAGTTTTAGTAGAAATATAACAGTACTAAAGCCAAGAGTATTTTGTGCATTGGTATTTGAGTAGAAATTACATGCATATTTGAGGTCCTAACAAAAAAATACATAATTTCTTTCTTGACGGTATATATGTACTTTTTTGTGAAACTTTATATGTAGACCCATGATTCTAAAGCTAGTCTCATTCTAAAAGAAAGCATCATACTACTTTATAAAATCATTAATAATAATTATGCTTAAAATATCAGAAAATGTTTTCAATTTTTTATTCGATTTTTGTGTAAAATGAAATCATACTTCAAGGGGTATAAAAAACTGACAGGTCAAATGTGTAGAAATGTAACAACCCCTGCGAAAGGACAATTAATATTATTCACAATAATGTGCTGACTTCAAATATCATATTTTTAATCCGTTAGAAAAACCTTATGTTAATATGACTTAGAATACAACTAGAGACAGCCCGTAATTGTTGCTGGTTGCAAACAGAACTATTTTTATCGCATATAGTCCGTCCATGAGTAGTACACACCAAATGTGTCTTAGGGGAATAATCTTGTTTCTACTTTCAACAGTGCTTCAGACTACATTTGATTCGCTGTTTAACTATAGGTGGAGTGCCGTTGTTCGTCTCACAAGACCTATAATAGTATGCGTCATGATGTTCCGTTATCACAATCAATATCGACATTGATCAGTGTGCTATCAAATGAGATAAAGATTGATAGATTAAAGAGTTTGGTAGCATGTTGAGAAATTAAATAAAGCGCTCGAAACATCCGCACTTTCGTATTTTCTGTTTAACGTTCTCATGCGGCAGTAAATTCGTTATATGAAAATTGTTCAAAGTTCAATGACTTTTCATTAAATTAGTAAAAAATTGCTGAGACTGTCATGTCATACCTTTAAAGATAGCAGCGTTGTACTATGATAATTCGACTGTTTTAGATGACTTTAAATTCAACAAAGTAAAGATTAGTTTTACACTACATATTTTCAAGTTTCGAAATTTTTACCGTATACCAGTAAAATTCATGTTCCCTTTTTAGTATATTTTCATGAGTTGCTCTTAAACATATAGGTAATATGTTATGAAATACCACGATGTTCCGTGATTATCGCGATTTCCACGATAATTTTTAATTAAAAATTCTGTACGCGTATACTCAACATTATAGCACTTTATATGTATTTGTAATTGCAGAACTTTTATGTACTAAGTTTTTATTCAATTTATAGTCTTGTATTTTTGTACTACAATTTTCATAATTTATTGTTTCAGCGTGGTTAAGGAAGAAATTATAGATGACGATGCACACTTACCCTGCTTTAATGGACGAGTAGTATCATGGGTGAGTTCTTACTATTAAGATTTATAAATTCTAATTTTTTCTTCAATGTCGACCAAAGCAGCCAAGAAGTTCGGTAGAGACTGAGGACGAAAATTAGAGAAATTGCAACTGACATTTCTATTTTCATTTAATTATTTAACAAAATCTTTAATATTGATACTGTGGATATTAATATTTAATCAATATTTTTCTTTTTAGTTGGTTTCCGCAGAAGGAAGTAACGTTTCGGACGGTGCATCTCAATGTACTGATTCTGTCGCACATAGTGAAGCGAAACATGACCGTGCTGATCATGTTACTCCAGGACGCACAAATCGTGGACCTCCACCTGCTCTCTCTCACGATGATACTCTCACAGAAACAGAGAGTATTATTAGTAGTCGACAGGGTCATCATCTTCATAAAAGCTCTAGGCATCATCCGGAGAAATATGAAAAGAATAATAAATACAATGGTAAGAAAATTTGCCCATTTAACATTCGAACATATATATTTTGATGATCAATAAATAAATTAATTTTTTTGGAATACTTAATTGAAGCTGGTCGTAGAGGCACAGCTGATTCTCGCCAGAAATTAATCGATAGACTCTTTCCGATCTCCCCAAAACTACGAGAACAGATCATGCATAAGTGTAACTGCACGAGAGCCAAGAAAACAAAAATGTTTTCGTCATTGCGACAATTAGAAACCTACCGTGTATTGTAATTTCGCGATACTAAATGAAACGGCTTTATTGTGTAACTTGTCAGAACGGCTGACAATGAACGATTGTTTCTGCAAAGGATGGACTCCCCCCCCCCCCC